AGAGTATGTAAGAACTGCACCAGAAAGGGGCAGAGACCTCATTTTGATTTCTGTGGCTCTTACTGATTGAGAACACACATGCTGTGGAGGCTCATTGTCTCTGTCTAAGTGTACACATATGTAAGCTTGTATATAAAAAAAAGTCTAGCAGAGACTTCACTCTAGTAAAGGGGCAGAGACCTCATTTTGATTTCTGTGGCTCTTACTATGCAGCTGATTGAGAACACACATGCTGTGGAGGCTCATTGTCTCTGTCTAAGTGTACACATACTGTATGTAAGCTTGTATATATAAAAAAGTCTAGCAGAGACTTCACTCTAGTTGTAAGTGATGGATAAACACAGGAAGGAATCCCTGAAACTTCCCTGAACTTGGTTGCATTTGGCTAACGTCAGCAAGAAATGATAACACATATTAGGCTTCGCTCATCTCCAAACTCTAATGTTTATTCAGGGGCAGAAAACAAGTCATTAATTTGACTGATCATGCTAGGCATTGGAAGGAGGAATAGCCCAGTGTAGCAGGGACTTGATGTGCAACATCTGTCACACCAACTCTGGCCAAAATAAATTGGCACGTTTAATTAAAGAAGGAGGTTCTAGTGCACTGATAAAACCAGCCACTTTCATAGGTGCTGGAGACAACAAGAAAGAATTAACTTCAGTTCTTTTTTGGTCAGGAGCCAAAGAAGCCCATGTGAACAAACCAAGTACTTCCAATAATACGTGTATATGTAGGTTTGTAGGATTTTGCTCAGGAATCTTTGCTATTCAGAAAGTAAACTGATGTTCTATCTATTTGGCCACTCTTCTCAGCAAACTTTGAAAATACTAATTTCCTGAATTTCAAAACCAATGCATGTCCTTAAAAACTCTGAGAACCAACTTCATAGCCAGACTGCCATCTGCATCAGCGAGCCAAAGATATCTGACAGATTATATCTAGCCTTAGATTAAAATCCAGTGTACATTGGCAACGGCCTCCAATAATGTAAAATCAATACTGTGGTCTATAAATAGGTAGACTTGGACAGCGTACTGTTAGAAGTCTGAATTAACTGCATGGACCTTTGCCTAACTACTAAATAAGTAATAATTATTTATTGGATCAATATTTATTTACTCACCTCCAAATCTGACCCTGTAAATGAGCAGAAAAAGATTACTTTAAAATGTTATATTTGAAGATTAGTGAATGAGGAAAGTGGGGAATTATGTGGGAGTGGAGATGTGCAAACTTTGGAAGGTAATTGCAGTTCTAGAGCTACAGTCCTAATCACAGGTGAATAATTCCTATTGAGCTAAATGGAACATTTTTCTGAGTCAGTACACTTTGGATTGCATTGCATTTCCAAGTCTGTGAAAAGCCATCACCTGCCATGTTCTATGTGGATGAAAATTATGAGATCCCCTACCAGCAACCATGTCTTGGGGTTTGATTGCTTTAGGATTACAGTTAGGTCTTACATGCAGCAACCCACCCTGAATTTAGCTTCTGTGGTATTTTAATACCCTCACATACAGGAGTTTTCTACAAAATGCAAAAGAACAAAATAATCTCGATTGATGGAGAGGTCTCCTCTCCCTCCCAGTGAAAATTACTGGGATGTGTGGAGTGTATCCCTCTAACCTTTAGTCTTGAGATTAAAAAGGTTGTACTATGTTGAACCAATGAACGTAACATTTCCTGTCACAGAGGTGTTGAAAAGGTTGCCTATTGGCTTCCTTCTTACAATGCCACTGTTAAAGACACAGGAGTCAGACAAAGATGGGTGGGGGAATTGGCAGCTGTATGTTTGTTAGAGATAAAGGGTGGGAGACGGGTGAGAGATGCAAAATGAGGCCAGTTATGTGCTGCTAAATTTAATAATTCAAGAGGCACAATATGGGTAAAGGGCATAAAGACTAGAGCAGTACCTTTAATTGATTCTTTGCAGCATGCATGTGTTTCCTAGGCAACAGCTAGTATGCAGAATGCACAAACATGAAGTGACACCTCAATTTATTGGGCTGACTTTTGCATTTTATAGGTTCTTCGTTTGTCCATAAATTTGCTCTATGCAGAATCATTCTGCGTACTTTAGAAGATGAATTCTAGACAACTTTTCAGTTTAAAGCAAGCAGTTACAGCTGAATCTGAGCCTGCAAAAGTAAGGAAATCCAGATTACGGATCAAACCTTTCCCTCAACCAATCATCACAGAAGACAATTGTTGTAGCTTAACTGCAGTTTTTGATTTGCTCAAGAAGAAAACAGATCAACTTACCCAAACCCCTTAAACACGAAAATCTTATTGGAGAAAAAATTGCACATGTAGAGAAAAAGCCATTATTTTTTCTCCTTTCTGCTTGTTGTCAGTTGTGTGACTGAGCACAGAAGTGGGTGCACAACTACTCCATAATGTAAAGAAGCTGAGGGGTAAAACTAGCTAAGCTAGCAGTACAGGTAGGGTTGGTTGCGCTTGAAATTGCCTGTTGCCAGAGGAAGGCCTGAAAGTCTTCTGCAAGAGGCAGGGCCTTCTCACTGTTGACACCGATGTTATGGAATCAGCTCCCAGAGGGGCTATGCCTGGCTCCTTTCCTGCTTCTGTTTAGGAGGAAATTAAAAACACTACTTTCAGGGAGGCCTTTCACACCAACCTCAGTTGAATGTCCCACCTCCTGTTCTATTATTTAGAAAATTTGCTTTTCGTGCCATTTGGTTTAATGCTATTTGTGTTTTAAATTATTGTTGCTTGTATGTTTACACTGGTTTTAGTTGCTTGTAAACCACCCAGAATAGTGCTTCTGCACTAATGAAGCGGTATATAAATTAAAGTAATAAATAATAAATAATAAATGAATACATTATTGGGAGACCAACAGGACTCTGACCAATGAGTTTTTCTTTCTGCAAATGAAGACAAATGGATGGTGGGCAGGAATATACTGCAAATCTGTTATTTCTATGTGTTTGCACTATCAAAACCTGTGTCTCATTTCAGCTTTTCCACTCCAGTAGGAATACCCTAGATAGGAAGTGGGGTGCTTAGAGGAATTATGCTGTAGAGTTAACTTGGCATAGATGCTAAAGTACAATAAGGGTGCATCAGTGTGCCCAGGTTTTCACTGGGGGGGGGGGAAGATTGATATATGGCAAATAGTAGAAGCAGAGACTTCAGGCTTTCAGAAGATGGTGAGATTGAGAGGCAGAACTGCAGCATCAGTGAATAAAAGCTATAATAAAAAGGTTGTCTAAAAGGGGAAAAAACACAATATCCAGCCTTGTGGAAGGTAACATGGAAATCTTAGGTCTCCTTCAGTCTCGAAAGAACATGGTAACACGCTCTGCATGAGTGTCCTCTCCAGAGCACCAAGCTTGGGTAGAATAATATGTTACCCAAACAGCAACCCCCCCTCTCCACCTCACTGGAATAGTCCAATGGAAAGGCAAGAGCCAATACAACTGGTTCCAGAGACTTCGCAGGAGTTGCCAGAATGACACAAACTGCCTCCAGGACTCCAGCTCCAGATTTTGCCTCGAGGTTTACTCCTGAAGCCTTTTCCATCAGTGGATATAGCCACAAGGCAGTGGAGGTTTGAAATAGGAGTTTTCCTTCTACTTGATGGGCTGCCTTCCAAGGCTGACGAGCTGCACCTACCCGGTCATGGAAATCTATCATTAGCCTTAACTATACAATGGCTAGAACCCATTGTAGATTTCTTAGATTTCTATCCTACCTTTCTCTCACCTCCTGTGTACTTTTAACACATTATTGCTGCACTTACACAGTGGGAAAACACTGTGAAATTAAAGACAGAGAGATGTGCTGAAGACTAAACTTTGTGTATGTTCCTAGGCTCTGTAGCATTATTTTTATTTTTAAAAGTTTATTATCCTAAGAATTATGTAAACAATACGTAGTTTTACAAAATTGTATTTAGAAGTGCTTTATAACCTGAGGATATAATGGTAGCTTACTCAGCTTGTGTATAAATCCATTTATTTTTTAAAGTTTATTATCTTAAGAATTATGTATGTATGTAGTTGTATGTAGTTTTACAAAATGGTATTTAGAAGTGCTTTATAACCTGAGAACGTAACGGTAGCTTACTCAGCTTGTGTATAAATCCAGCACAAGATGCCTCAGGTAGCAATGGGACATTTCACACGATCATTGGCAGGAAAATACACACTTATTAATTCAGATGACTAGGCCATAACTGTGGTAGTAAACCCTAAGTGCTTGGCAAGCTGCTTGTTGGTCTGTTCCTACTTCAACAACTGTAGAGACCAGAACGCAATACACAAAAGCTAATACATATCTTCACACTGCAAATGAAAAGCCAGTAAGGCCAACTTAAAATTAAACCCTCAATGACCAGGGAAAAAGCAGTCCAAACAGGCTGGACCTTAAGAAATATCAGGAAACTATGTCATCACCATCCAGCAAACTGGTGGCACAGTGTAGGTCCTTCTCCAGCCATAAAAAGACACCCTCCCCCCGTATGTGTTATAGGCCTTTCAAGTTGGAACCCACGTATAGCAAACCCTAATAGGGTTTTCAAGGTGAGATGAGTTTGCATGGCTTGAGTGAGGATTCGAACCCAGGCCTACTGAGTCTTAGTCCCTCAGCTCTGTCCATTGCACCAATCTGGGTATCCACCGTCCAGCTATAATGGGGGGGAAAGCACCGGGGGTAGGCAATGAAGCACCAAAAGACTTGCGATGACTGCGCACGCTCAGAGGTTACAGAACGCAGTCGCGAAAGTGTGTGAAGATACAGTATAAGCATAAGGAACTACTGTATGAGGGCTGGGAGAGGGAGAATGGAATGGAGGCTGCCCGAAAAGGGGAGCGGCTGATTGGCTGGCACCTTGGTCAAAAGCTACGCCCTCCCAGCAAAGCTTCAAAGAGAATCAAGAACTTCCCGCATCACGCCAAGGAAAAGATGGACGGCCACCAAGCGGAAGAGGCGGCCCTAGAAACTACAGGGAGCACCGAGGAGGGCTAGAGCGTCTACTGCAGCTTTGTCCTATCGCGGGGATACGTTCTCGGTGTTCAACGAGAACTGTCGGTTCCTGACTGCAGCTGGCGAATTTGGAGAAAATGTGGCTTTAAAGAGAGACTACTGTAGAACCCTTCATCTTGGACTCAGGTGGGAACCTATTTTCCGGTAAACCTCATAGGATCGGGTTTCTAGTCTGCTAAAGATCCAGCAATTCAGAAATCCCTTTTTTTCTTTCTGATTAACTATGATTTTTTAGATTGTGTCTCTTTTGCAAACTCTTCCCCCTTCTCCGTCTTTAGACTAATTTTGTTCCAATCCACACTATGACTTGAAGTGTTTTTTTTTTTAAAGACAGGAGCTTTCCGGCTGAAAAGCATGCATTCCACGTGACTCTTACTTGTAAATATAGTAAACTCCCAATTCCTTAGAAATATCACATTTCTTAGAAATACAGATGGTGGAAAGTCTCGTTTGCCTGACCCTTTCTCCTGTTAAAAAATGTAGACCTTTCTCCTAGAAGAACAGCATAGAGCAAGCTTTAAAAAAATCATTTTCTAGGAGAAGGTGCTCGCTATTTTCTTCCTAAATACAGCAACGAACCCTGCCTATTTTCTTTCCATTTCCCTGAGTGTATTTCTAGGGTTGTTGTTTGGCACTCGTGTTCGAAGGAGAGCCGGAAGTGAGCGTTGCGTATAACGAACTCGTGCATCTTTGTGACAGGGTGGGGGGGAGAATAGAGAGAGAGGAACCGACGAGGCATTCGAAACGCTAGAACGGTCGCAGCCTTTAGGAGACACAATTGAGGGACAAACTGTCTTCCGCCGCCTGTAGCAGGAGACCTCAGTTAGATGGAGGAACGGGGCCACGGTAAGGCGGCCGGTCCGAACAGAGGCTTCAAGTGGAGGCAAAGGGTGGTGGGGAAAAATATTGCAGTCACTTTGAAGGCGTAACAGATTTATTTCAGTGTGAGCTTTTGTAAGTCAGAAACCACTTCACGAAATCCATGAAAGCTCACACTGAAATAAACCTACTAGTCTTTAAAGTGCTACCTTGTTTTGCCTCCTCTCCTCCCACTTTTCTTTTTCCCCTTTATTTTTGTCAGTATACCGAGGCAGAATTAGGTTTTAGTAAGTATATTATTCTATTGTATTTTATCACGTTTTGTAAGCTGCCCCAGTAGACTTTGTCTAGAGGGGCGGAGTATAAGTCTAAATAAAGTAAAGTAAATAAAGAATTCTTTACAGCGCCTTCTTTGGAAATCAGAAGTGGAGGTTTATATATATAAAAAGCTGTGATGGCTGTGTTATCACTCATTATTGTCCGTCTGCATGGTTACTGTGCCACATTATAAGCTGTCAATGCTACTTTTTGCACTGCAGATAGTGGAGTACTGTTGACCTGCCTTTGTACAGAGGTTGTGCATTGCAGCCTGTGCAAACCGCAGCTTTTGAACAGTTGACACATAAAATTCCACAAATGGGATTAATATGTTGTTATTTTTTAAAGATGACTAACGTGGCTATTGAACTTTGGACAGGAGGAGACAAGACTCACAGGAAAAGGGAAAGACAGTAGAAAAAGTCGCTGATGTAGCATGAGATGAACTGACTCAGTAAACCAGGTCCTTCAGCTTGAAAGCTCTGAGAAGGATTGCTAATATAGGACCTTTTTGAGATTATTAATTCAGAGTCATCATAATTTGGAAGCAATTTGATGGCACATAACAGTTGTTTTTCAGCATTGCTGTGTCCATTGCAGTTCTTTCATAGTTGATTTGGAACAAGAGAAACAAGGATGTATTTATGTATTTACTTTGCTTTTATTGCTTATGGTGAAAGGCTTTTATTATGGCCAAAATCTAGTGAAAGAAAAGTGGTGTAGACACAAGAGCTTAGGTGAGCTGCTTTTACTTGCAGGCTTGTATTCATTTATCTGAGGTAAATGATTCTAATTGTTATGTTTTCATAGCAGACTGCTGAAGAATGTTTGTTCCAAGATCTCTGAAAGTCAAGAGGAATGCTGTTGACAATGAAACCTATGTAGCTAAGAAACATAAGCTCTCACCAGATGAGTCCTCTTTTGAAAAGACTGCAGAGTTTGATGTTAATGAGTCGGATGTAAACGACATACTAAGCCCAGAGACTGAGTCATTAAAACCTGCGGAAGAATACACTGAACCCCAGGTCTCTCTTGATTCAGCTGCAGGCCTGATTCAATCAACTTCAGAAAATGCCATTGACAAGGTGGAAGAGCCCATAAAATCTTTCAGTAAAACGCAACGCTGGCCACAGCTTGGGGAACCCGTGTGTGTGATTTGTGGCCGTTATGGGGAGTACATCTGTGACAAGACTGATGAGGATGTTTGTAGCTTGGAGTGTAAAGCCAAACACCTTTTACAAATCAAAGAGAAGGAAAGCTCAGAAGAACCACCTAGTAGTGAAAAAGCAGATTCTTTGTCTGCTTTTCTAGATGGTTCTTATGTCTATGAAGAGAATGCCTTTCTGTTAAGCCTCCGGGATGAACAGATTGAAAATTTAAAGCAGCAACTCAGCATTGTTGTCCAAGGCCAAGAAGTCACAAGACCCATTGTAGAGTTTGAACACTGTGGCTTCCCTGATGTTTTAAGCTTCAATTTAAAACAGGCAGGCTATGAAGTCCCAACGCCCGTCCAGATGCAGCTGATTCCAGTTGGATTGCAAGGCAGAGATATTGTGGCCACGGCTGACACAGGGTCAGGAAAAACCGCAGCCTTCTTGCTTCCAGTTATAATGAAAGCCCTGGGAGAGGTAAAGTTCAAACCTACATGCAAAAACTTGTGTCCTGGGGGAGTTTTGTGTGACATGTTCTTATGCGTGCTTCCTGAGAGTTTCCCTTCATTTGAAGTGATTGCTCTCGAGGAGACTGCATAGCAGTTCAGCATGTGTTGTAATAAGAATTCTAGAGAAATTATTGTGCATTTGCTTTTTTGTTGTTTAGAATTTCTTTGTTTATGTCTAAAGAAAGTAATGATTCACATGATAAAGAACAGTATACGAATTGTAATTTGTGATTTTGCCAATTGTGTCAGTCAAGAAAAGGCTCATATGCAGGGCAAGAGATATACCTTTTATTTAATCATCAACATCATCATATAACTGTAGAGCTGGAAGGGATCTTGATGCTGAGGCAGTTGCCAAGGAGATGAGAAAAGGAGAAGCCCCAGTGTATTTTGGGCATGTGGGCAAGTGGATATTTTGCTACCTCTGCAAGAGCTGCAGATATTTTTTTCCTATTTTGCTAACAGCTGTCCCCCCTCCCACCATGATTATTATGTTTTCCTATCTGGCAGAAAAAATTGCAAGGCCATGGGAAATTTGGCTAGCCATTCAGCTTGCTATGTAGAGTGGGGATTTAAAATCAAATATTTGTGGCAATAGTCCGAGAGGACTGTTTTCTCACAGCTGCCATAGAAAGGAATGGAAGAGATGGTATTCCATAAGCTTAAACATAGCCTCTCTCCTATTTCTTGCTCTTGAGCTGCTGTCAGCTGGTAGGCAGCATGAACTGATCGCTGATGTCTGCTGAAATAGACTGAAATGAGTGTACTACTGGCTGAAAGTGTCAGAGGTCACTTCTTCAGACACAGGAAGCAGTAGGCTACGTTCCCAAAAAGCCCATGTCAAATACAGTCCCACCGTCTTAAAAGTGCTGATATGCTTTGTTGTTTTTCCTACATAGCTGTACCACAGCTGTCTCCTTGGAAAAAACGATCTATAGGAAAATATTGTACTTGATGTGAAATAGGATGATTCATTTTGTGTGGCGACTCATACACACATGCATGCCATCGCTTACCATGACAGTGATCTCATTATGACTGCAATACATCACAGCTGCCTGAAAATTTCTTCAGAAAGTCTCTTTTAACAGCTCACTACTCAGTTACATTTCTGTGGTTAAAGCTGAATAATGTGGGAGCAAACTTCCTTGATTGTCTAATGTTGCACTCTTCTATTCACTGTCATCTGTCTCAATAACTGTTGGACAAAAACGATGATGTTGACTAGGTCCGATGACAACTGACAGCTCTCTTTATTATCTGAGAATTTGTTAGCAAGAATTCAGATTGGTAACTTATAACTGTTTTTCTTTTTCAGGCAGAAGCTCCGTCTGCTCTTATTCTGACACCAACAAGAGAACTAGCTGTACAGATAGAGAAACAGGCCAAAGAGCTCATGGTTGGTCTACCAAACATGAGAACGGTTCTCCTAGTTGGAGGATTGCCATTGCCACCTCAGCTTCATCGCCTGAAACAAAATGTTAAGGTGAAGCTTGTTGTGATAATGTTGTTTACTGGGGGAAAAGAATGAGGTGTATTGTCTGAAATGTATGTACACTGGGTGCTGGGAATCAGCTTTTGGTGGACAGTTGAAGGATGACCACTTTAGTTGTTAATCAAGACAGGTTACAGATCATGTCTGGGCTTAGTAGCCAAAATGTGTTACTGTTAAGCAAAAATATAGTAAAAACACCTTTGAACACATGCAGAGTGCACTTCCTTTTCATGGAGTAAATGGTAGCCTGCCCTCTTAAGGAATTAAAGAGAAACATTACAAGTGCAGGTAGCATTCTTTTTCCTACTGTGCATCCCCTGTGGCTCTCTTTCTGAAAACCAAACATCGCCCTCCCCAGCCTTCCTGACAAACCTCAGCATAAACAACAAGCACTTTCAAAACCAGGGTAAAAAAAGATGTAGACACAGTCTTTCTTGCTCCGCCAAAGAAATCTGCTGCATTTTTTTCCTTCTTTCCCTGTAGCAGCTGCCCTGCAAACCCAGTTCATTTTGTCATCTTAACCTCCAGAGAACAAACCAAAGCAGTTGGCTTTCTCTGTGGTATTAAAAGGGGAGTGAGAGAGAAGCTAGTTGCTAGTGAGTTTGAAGAATGGAGAAAAGCTGGAGGAAGAAAAGAAGGATGTGAAATTGTCTTCTAAATTCTTCCTTAATGCAGTTTATCTGTAGGTGGGATGAAGTAGCTCAAAGTCTTGGTGACTGGCAAGTATTTTGAGGAAATTATCAGTGGGAGCTGTGAATGTTGCTGTAGAATTCCAGGAGGATGTTTCTGAGTGAAGGAAGAGAAAGAATGTCAGAATGAGAGAAATTAGGCCTGGATCTATCTGATAATCCCCAACTAGAGTAGATCCAGTAAATCAATGAGATTTATGTAAGAGTTAAATCAGCGGTCAAATATCGATTCAGTGGATCTGCTCTATTTGGGATTAACAATTGGATTCAGGCTCAAAATCTACTCTAGAATTTTCTGGGAACCTAATTTAGCTGCTGAAATGTACTCTTCCCTGGTTACATTCTTGTTCACCAAGATCTTTCTTGCTCCTGGCCTGTAGGTGAGTGGAGTTGTTATAGGCTGGAATTAAACAGTGTTTTGATTAAATTACAATGTTGACATTTCTTCTCTTTTTCTGCTAGGTTATAATAGCAACACCTGGAAGACTTCTTGAAATTCTAAGGCAAAGTGCCATTCAGCTCCATAACATCAAAATAGTTGTAGTGGATGAAGTAAGTAACACATTATAGGTAGAAACAAAAAAAGCATGAATGGGTATTAATTAAATCTGTACCAGATTTCAGTGGAACAACTGTTTCTGTCTGTTGATCATCTATTGTTGGCCTTGGCAAGCCAGATGGGTGCAGCATTAGGAAAAATGCACATTGTAAATTTCAAGACTATGTGTATACCCATTTTTTTTTTTGGCTAGGGCAAGGTAGGGTTTTTCCAGTGGAGTCTTAGAAAAAGTTCAGGTGCCAGCCTTATAATAAGGCAGCAAGCATACACTGCTTTTTCCTGAACTCTGGCAGAAGGGAGAGGCCAGAGCAAAATGGCAGCTGAGGATTAACACTGTTGAGGATGAGTAGGAAGCCTGTGCCCCTCCAGGGTTCGCTGAATGGGAACACCCTTCAGCCATTGTCCTTACTGGCTGCGGCTGATGGGAAATGGAGTCCAACTTCAACTAGAGGGCCACCAGTCCCTCAATCCTAGTTGAAGAGTTTCCATACCTTTTGGCGTCAAAGCATTTAAGCACTTGTCAAGTCAGCATTTTCAAAATCCTGTGAAAGTAACAGAGTGGGAAAGTGCCAGTGCTTGCCAAGTTATTTTGTGGGTAGAAGAACTTCCTCAGCTCTCTATACGTCTTGTAAAGCGAAGAGGCACTTTGGGTTGCTGTTTTAACAGACTGTTGATAGCAGGATGGAAAGGAACACGGGGCAGGATGTGAAAAAGTCAAGCTTGAGAGGAGCAGGTGCCATTACTTATTCCAGACTTTTTGCAAAGAGTTCCCTTTTCAAGCATGGCTTGTCCATTGGCATCTCTTAGAGGAACGGTTTCCAACCTTGGATCCTCCAGGTGTTCTTGGACTGAAACTCCCAGTAGCTTTCAGTGCTAGCTGTGCTGGCCAGGATTTCTGGGAGTTGTAGTCCAAGAGCATCTGTGGACCCAAGGTTGGCAAGTACAGTATGTAATGGTGTGTTGCTAGTTCCTCATAATCGTCAGTTTGGTCCTTATTCGCTTGTTTGTAACATTTATATCCTACCTTTTCTTCTACTGAGTGCAAGGTACCATACATGACTCCACACTTCCCCAGTTTCTCCTCATGATAACCCTGTGAGGTAGGCTGGCCTGAAAAAGAGAGTAATACGCCAAAGGTTCTCTCCTAAGTTTTGTGGCTTGGGGCAGGGGGGTTTGAACCTTGATCTTCCAGCACTCTAATCAGCAAAACACATTGTGCCCATTTTTTCTTTGGTTGTTGCCATTGTTATGTGCCATCAGCTTGCCTCCATATGTTATGGAGATTGTATGAATGCGTGACCTACAGACTGTCCTATCATGAACAGCGTTGCCCAGCGCTTGCAAATTCAAGGCAGTGGCTTCCTTTATTCGGTCATGTTCTTGTCAGTTTGTTATTATTAAGGAACTCAGACAGAACATGTCGGTAATGAAGCAGTTTATCTCAGCAGTCTTTCTAAAAATGAAAATGTAATGGTAACAAGTCCATATGTGTTTTTCCACCCACAAAATAGGTTGACACTATGTTGAAGATGGGTTTCCAGCAACAGGTGCTAGATATTTTGGAAACAATCCCTAAAGACCACCAGACCATCTTGGTTTCAGCCACAATGCCTTTTGGCATTGAACAGCTGGCAAGTCAGCTCCTGCAAGATCCTGTGAAAATAACCATCGGAGAGAAGAACCAGCCCTGCTCCAGTGTCCGGCAGATTATTTTGTGGGTAGAGGAGCCTTCTAAAAAGAAAAAGCTTTTTGAAATATTAAATGTCAGTATCCATGGAAAGAGACTCCACCTTTGTTTTTGCTTCCACAAATTGTGTGTATTTGGAGACTGGGAGGAAAAGAAGTAGAAAAGCATTACAGTGGGGTCTTGACTTAAGAACGGCTCGAGTTAAGAACATTTTGACTTAAGAACTGCTCTCATAGGAAAATATTGACTTGACTTACATACTTAGATTTGAGTTAAGCACTGAAAAAAACCCACATGGGAGGCTGATTCAGGTTTAAGAAGCTCTTCTGTTAGAGAGATGTAAGCATGTCAGCGTTAATTCATTTTGGCCCAGAACTTTGCTAAAAGTTGTGCAGGAAGAAATAACAGTTTGATTGTTTCAATCTTAATTGAAATCAGAGTTTAAGATGTCATTAAAAAAAAAAAAGGAAATGAAAAAACTGGGGTGTGCAGTTTTTCCAAGTTGTCCTTTTAAAAAATTACAATTCTTTGAGCAGCAGGTACTGTGTTTCCCCGAAAATAAGACAGGGTCTTATATTAATTTTTGCTCCAAAAAACTCATTAAGGCATATTTTCAGGGGATGTTTTATTTTTTTCATGTACAACAGTCTACATTTATTCAAATACAGCCATGTCCTCTTCTTCTGGTTGCTGCACAATGGTGGACAGCAGGGTTTCATTTAACTAGGGCTTATTTTCAGGTTAGGTCTTATTTTTGGGGAAACAGGGTATGCAAACAATTTAGGACTTGTTATTGGCATTGGTAACTGGTATGTGTTGTTCTATGCAGGACTAAGTTATGTTCTTTCTTCCTGTTTTTTAGGATAAGAAACTTTTCAAGCCTCCAGTCCTGGTGTTCGTAGAATGTAAGCTGGGTGCGGATCTTCTGAGTGATGCTGTTCATAAAATCACAGGTTTACAAACAATATCAATGCACTCTGATAAGCCACAGGCAGAAAGGATGGCCATATTACAGGTTTGTAGACATCTGGCACACCTAAAAAATATCATTTATTAATTACTTGAGTTATTTGCCACAGACATCTGGAAAACAACACAACTAAGTATCCAGTCTTGGACAATTCTGAGCTAAATTGCTATAAACTTTCTAGTGCTGCATAGATTTCTCCTCTGGTTTTCATCATCCCCACAAACCTTAGACATAACTGGGATCCAGAAACCTGCCTCTGTCATGTGCATTCTGGCAGCTTGGCTGTGGTCTACAGGAGTAACTTCATCTGCCTTGTCTACCGGCTGCAGGGGCAGGATCAGTGCAAGTCATCTTGATGCCTTGGAATGGATCAGCAAACAGTGCCTTCTGTGGGCTACTCAGATGAGGGTGCCTTGTGCTCTTGTACCCCAGTGTCATCGGCAGTACGAATACATTGACAGTAAACAACAGTTTAGTGTCTTTTCATATATATGAACATTTGCTGAGATGGAAGCTTCTCTCTGCCTCATGCTAGGCCCAGTTCTTTGATTTGGAGTATGGTGTTGTAGGGATGTTCAAACAGTAGCTGGTGAAAAGATGGGCTTCCTAGGGTTTTGTGGTGAACACAAAGCAGCTGGGCTGGATCAGGCAAAAGGCCTGCAGTTTGTTCTTGTGGTGACCTCTCATATATCTGTTGGAAACTGAAAGGAGGATATGACTGCAACAGCAACCTCCCTGTCTGCTCCAAATCATTCGGCTTGGTGGCCATCACAGTAGCTGGCAATAGTGAATTTCATCTAAACATGTGTGAAGAAGTCCTTCAATTTATTTCTCCTGAGTCTCTTATACTTGAATTTCAGTGGAATATTCCAGGTTTTAATATTATCGAAGAGGAGAAAAACTTTCTCCTAGTTTATTTTCTCCATTCTATTCTTTTACAGTTCTCCAAGAGTGGTGACACCATCTATTGGTGTAAAATACCATATTGGCAGTTTTTAAAAAATTCTTTCCTAACAATCTCTAATATGTGTATCAGCATTTTTTAATAAAATTGTTTCGAATACAATTTATTATTAAAAGATCTTCAAGATAACTGAACATTCAAAGGAGCAATTGGAGAAGGTTACGTTTCATGAATTATGCTTCAAAGGGTACTTGTGCCAATAAATGGATGTAGTTTCTTAAAAGATTTCAGTGGTTCCCAACCTTGGGTAACCCAGATGTTCTTAGACTACAACTCCCAGAAACCCTGGCCAGCACAGCTGGTGGTAAAGGCTTTTGGGAATTGCAGCCCAATAACACCTGGATTACCCAAGGTTGGGAACCACTGTTTTAGCTTATTCCTTTTCCTTGTTGTCCGGCTGCTGCTTTATTTGTTTTGAAATGTGTTCGGAATGTGTTACCTCTTTTGTAGTAACTTTTCTGGGACTTCTTGTATTCCTTGCTTTTGACAGCAAACCTCATGAAGCCACGTAATGTGTGACTGCCATTTTTCCATCAGTAGAAGAATACTTACATTGGTTTGAAGCATTTACTTCATTACGATGGAGTTAGATCCTGTATTTAAGCAGCAAGATGCTCAGTTATGAGAAATCTAAAATACTGTTGGTCTCTCTTTTTTTGTGCTAGGGATTGTTTCAAGAAAAGTATGATGTTGTAGTAAGCACTGGAGTTCTTGGACGTGGACTCGACCTTGTCAATGTTAAGCTTGTGGTAAATTTTGACATGCCATCTAGCATGGATGAATACGTACATCAGGTGAATACATTTATCTGCTTTAAATATTACAGTGTGCTACTAAACCCCTTATAGGAGAGGTGGGGAAAATTTGGCCACCATATTTTTTGGACTACCATCCTTGTCAACCACACTCAGTAAGACCAGTGGTAAGGTAATATTGGGATTGTAGTCCAAAGCATGGAGGGATTCTTGAACTCTTTGTGTTAACCACAGGTCAGATGTTTGTGTGCTGAGGCTTTAAATATTATAGTGTGCTACTAAACCCCTTACAGGAGAGGTGGGGAAAATTTGGCCACCATATTTTTTGGACTACCATCCTTGTCAACCACACTCAGTAAGACCAGTGGTAAGGTAATATTGGGATTGTAGTCCAAAGCATGGAGGGATTCTTGAACTCTTTGTGTTAACCACAGGTCAGATGTTTGTGTGCTGAGTTTGTGTGTGCTACCACATCCCCAAGTCCTCCACAGTACCTGAGAGTGGAGAAAATCCAAATCATGAACTTTTTAAAGAATTCAAAAGCTGTTTTTTAATGCCTGTGCTGTTATGGACTGTGCCTAAAGGAGCTTTCTGCATCGTGATCCAAGAAAATAAATAAATCGATATTCTTTCTCATGTAGAAGCCAACACATAGCAGAACAACAGTTGAGAATGTGTGTAGCATATCTGCCATCTAAAGTTATATCTGAGTATACAGTGAATGGCACTTATAGCAATTACAGATTATGAATTTGTTTATTTTTTTAGCCTAGTTTCCTTCCAGAGCATCCCATGAAATTGTGTGGATATTATATTGAATCTTCATTGCAACTAATATAAGTGATGAAACTTTACAGTTTTCCAAACAAGTGTGTAGTGCACTATGTATCACCACAATTATCCATGCTGGATTTTTTTGAGGCAAATACTTGTACTGTTGCATATATTCAATTGCCTTTCCTTTTCACAAAGATTGCATGCATTTAATTAAGCCGAAGATAATAATTGTATGACAGCTGATCACTTGAGAAGTGTAATGCAGATAAAGAGAAAAGCCACAAGACAGATGGCAAGTCAGAGGAGAAAACTGCTGATGCGATTGTCCTTATGCTCATAATTTTTCCCCCAAGAGGATGTTGACCAATATTTTTGCTTTGAATTGAATCTTTTCAATACTGTACAGCTGACCATATTTTCCAAAAGCTCGTATCTTCATGTTCGCAATTTCATTTTATATATGCTTATTTGTTATTTTTCATCATAATAAACTTTGAAAGCACCATACAAAATAGAAATACATTGATGAACATGGATTAAAAACCTTACTACTTAACAGGAGGTGGAATGTCTGTGTACTTAATATTCAAGAGGTCATATTGAATCAGTGGAACTTGTATAAATATTTGCCTAAATCATTTTCATTGAATGGGTCTGCTCTAATTGGGCCTTGCTGGGGGTTAGGGAGCTACTGTGTTTACCTGAAAATACGACAGGGTCTTATATTCATTTTTGCTTCAAAAAACACATTAGGGCTTATTTTCAGGGGATGTTTTATTTTATAGTCATGTCATCTTCTGGTTGCTGCACAATGGTGGAGGGCGGGGTTTCACTTAACTGGGGCTTATTTTTGGGGTAGGGCTTATATTATGAGCATCCTGAAAAATCCTACTAGGGCTTATTTTCAGGTTAGGTCTTACTTTCGGGGAAATGGTATGATCATCTTTAAGAGATTGGACTGCAACCCTCAATGTTCCTTATTGTTGCCAATTCTGGTTAGGGCACATGGGAACTGTAATCTAAGAATATCTGGAGGGCAGTTCTTGAAATCCAATTGTTTGAGATGAAGGAGGATGAGTTTTATTGCTGGGTGCAACTTTTATCCTGAAGCTTAAAATTCATATTCTCTTTTAAAGGCTGTAAGTTAACGGTTGGATTCTCTTAGTTATACAAGACAGATCTTCCTGTAAGCACTGCTGCTTTTCTTTTCTCAGGTGGGACGAGCAGGTCGGCTGGGTCACACTGGAACAGCAATTACGTTTATTAATAACAACAGCAAGAAACTTTTCTGGGATGTTGTGAAACGAGTTGAACCAACTGGCACTATTCTCCCACCCCAGTTGTTAAACTCTCCATACCTACATGATCAGAGAAGAAAAGAACAGCAGAGAAATAAAAAATCTCAGAGTGGTCTTGTGACAGGTGATAATCTTATGGACATTATTAGAAAACATGACAAAAGCACTTCTCAAAAGTAACGAGTAGTTACGTATTTGTAAATGTAAAGGTTTTCTGTAACATGTACCAAGTGCTGAATTTTGGTATTTAATTCTGTACCAGTGTTCCAGTTTATATAAAGCATTTTGTAATCATAATTTGATTGCAGATTCCTTACCTGAAAATCAGTGTTATTTCTACGTCTGATGGATTATTTGTCACATTTGTATCCTCTCATGTTTTACAAAATGTCAGAACAGTACTCTAGCCCAGTGGTTATTAACCTTTGTTACTCAGGTGTTTTTGAACTGCAGCTCCCAGAAACCCCAGTCAGGACAGCTGGTGGTGAAGGCTTCTGGGAGTTGCAGTCCAAAAACATCTGAGTAACAAAGGTTAAGAACCAGTGCTCTAGCCCATGAATACCTTTGTTAGGTTGAAGTAGTCATGTACTCCAGAGCATTTCGTGAGCTTTGTCCAGGGTAGATTTGATTTAAATATAAATTAATTATTTTTTAAATTTAAAAATCAGATATTTTTGGACAATTCAAATTTAAGAATCTGATATTTTTGGACAATTCAAATTTAAAAATGATTTCTTAAAATTTAAATTGTGATTTAAATCGATATACAGCGGTGCCCCGCTTGATGATTACCTCGTTGTATTTAAAAATGATTTATTAAAATGTAAATTGTGATATAAATCAATATACAGTGGTACCCCGCTTGATGATTACCTCGTTGTACGACGAATCTGCTGTACGATTAGGCTTTGCGATTGCTATTGCGATTGCAAAATGATGTTTCAATGGTTTTTTTCTGTTTGATGACAATCGGTTTCCTGCTTCGGGAACTGATTTTTCACTTTACGACAATGAAAAACAGCTGATCGTCAGGTTTTCAAAATGGCTGCCTGCTGTGCAAAATGGCTCCCCGCTGTGTTCATGATGGATTGCTCTCATTACAGGCACCGGAAAATGGCCGCCCTATGGAGGATCTTTGCTGGACAGTGAGGTATTTTGCCCATTGGAACACATTAAATGGTTTTTAATGCATTTCAATGGGCTTTTTACTTTCGCTTGACGACAGTTTCATTCTACAGCAATTTTGCTGGAACGGATTATCGTCATCAAGTGGGGTACCACTGTATATATTTTAAAAAACATTGATTTTTATCAACCTGACTTTGTCATTGGGAGCCATTTCATACTTTGTACTAAATCTCATTGTTAATCCCAACTACCATAGACCAGTTGAATTGGAGGGACTTGTTAAGCCAATATTTATATAAGTCCTATTGATTCCCTTTTTATTTTGGATGGGTACAAAATGTACTTTAGCTTAAATGGAAAAATATATGCATTGCATCCTGAATGGCACACACATATATATTAAATAGTGGTATTCTCTTGCCACAAGTAGAGAAACAATGGCCAGGAATGTGTTTATAATTAACGAGCAATCCAACATTCCTAAAACATAATTATTGAATCATTTTGTTGGGGAATAAAATATTGTTCTTTGGTCTGGTATAGAATTGAAAGGGGGAAAGAATTTTTGAGGGGAGAGAGCGGGTTGGTTTTGCATCTCTGCACAGTTAGGTTTTGTCTAACAGATTTAGGTCCTGTGTCTAACAGGCACAGATGCTGGGAATGTGCAGAACGCCAGTGGCTTTGGTGTCTGTTGGCTGCAGTAGATGATTTGAAGGAAGGAAAGGGGCAAAATAATATTGCAGACATGGTGGAGTGATTTAGGTGGCGATGAAAAGCAGGCTGAAACTTTTCTTGTTGAAAACATTAGCAGAGATTCAAAAGGGAAGGAGACATGGACAGCCGGACAAGTCTGTAAGGAGGAAAACACTCCACACACTTTCTTAAATCATTTGACAACAGAGATTATAGTTGGGGGTTGGGGGGATTGGTGTATATTCTCTCCCAGTCCCAGTCCAGACCTGTGGGCAATTGGAGAAATCTTTTCACTCCCCACATTTCAAAAAAACCAAGAGGAAAATCATGTTGGTTGAAGCAAAATACTTATTTCCCCCTAATTGAGTCTGGTATGACTTCTGGCTCAGAACAATGAGGTACTTCATGATTTCCTGTTAACATTTTAGTTGGATTTTTCATAATTTTGTTCAAATAGTTTCAGAGCTGATGCAGCCCCAAATCTTCCCTAGTTTCTCACCCCTGGAATACATGGACTCAGTATAAACCAGCTTCAGAATAACTTTTACAATGCAAGAGATTTTGTGTTCTCGAAGGCTTTCACGGCCACGATCCAATGGCTGTTGTAGGGTTTTCAGGCTGTCTGGCCGTGTTCTTGGGGTTTTTCTTCCTAACTTTTCGCCAGTCTCTGGCCAGCGTCTTCAGAGGACAGGAGTCAGAACTCTGTCTGTGCTCTGGTGCAGTTTGGGATAGTTGAATATTTATAGCTGTAGGATCAGAGATTTTATTTTTCCTTTTGAACAGAAGTCTACATTTCAGATCAAAATGCTGGCAATATTAAAGGTAAATAAATGTTGGCAGTATTAAAGATAATGTTGAATTTAACAGCTCTGCAAGCAAATCTGGAACAAACTCCCTGTTAAAACTCAAGTCACTAAAACATGTTAATCTTTTATGTGATACAGGTCTCATTTTAGCCCCTCCCATCATTTTTATTCTTCACTTTTGTAATAATTTTTTTTTGCCGAGGAAGGAAAATCCATGTTTCTCTCATTTTAGGTTTTATACCAGAAAATGTATATTGCAGTTTTTACGAAACTGATTTATTTTTTTGAACAGGAACCTTAATGTGAAAGGATAAGACTATCAGTGGAACAAGTTACAGCTTAGACATGGAAAAATAACCTTCATGTTTGTTATTCTAGACAAAGCACAGACTTAAGGTGAATGGGGAGCTAAATAAATGTGGAAGGTCTTGCAATAAATATCATTGCATGATTGGACTGTGCAGGGGAACATTAACTGTTTCTTTATCTTACGTTTTATTTACGTTTGGAGACACCCCCAAGGGACCTCTGAACCATGGCAGTAGTGTATCTTGACACAGATTGGGCTGAGTATAGCACACTCAGGCAGAGCTATTCTCCACTAGGATGTTACTGAACACAAAAGAATTAAAATATTGCAAAGATTACAATAAAGTTTATAACTAATATGGGGAAACAGACAGAAAAGAAGCAAACTCACATGGCTGAGAGGGTTTTGAGATTCAGGCTGCACTGTAAAGTTCTGCAATACTTGAGCAGACTATTTGCAGAGGTGCTATGAGGATAAAAAGAAGGAAAAAGGATCTTTCCCTAAACCACACAGGCTTGTTCCAGAAGATAGCTTAGGGGTCTATCCCTAGTCTTGTTAGACTGTCTTGAAGCTGGGGAGTGTTGGAACTCCAGCTGAAACAATGTAAGGAAATTCTTGGGCAAGTATCCCAAGAGAGGATAGACTGAGTTCCCAGGTTGGAGAGCAGGAATTCAGGACAGCAACATAGACTACTAAGGTCCTCTGGCTAGATCCTGGATTCGGGGAGGCAATACAGTCATTTCAGCTCCGAAATGGAGTCAGCCCAAAGAGGCTTGGCAGGGAAGAGTGGGAGGAAGGTTCAGGCAGAGATAGACACAGAAAAAAAGTTCACTCCAAAAGATTCACCCTAGAACCTCCCAGAATAACCAATATGGGTACTGTGTGTCTGTTTACCTGGTTTCTGGCCAGGTTGTCTATGGTGATCTGGTCCCTTGTTAATCATCTGCCCTATTCTGCTCTGATCTTAATCTCTGCCCATCTGGCTAATCCAGGGACAATGGACAGAAAAGCATAGTCTGTTTAGGAAAACGCAGACTATTCTAGGCTGTTTGCTTTCCCACGCAATGCTTGTAGTACACAAACAGAAGAATGTGATCGAATCTTTTCAGCTTCAGTCCTGGAGGACTATCCTGTGAGATGATTTCTTCCCCCCTTTGGGGAATTCATGTCTTCCATGTCCTTTTGATAGGGGGCCCATAACTTCTATGGCTGTAAGAGTATTGGTAAGACTCAGTATGTCCATTTAGGTGTGTTTTTCCCCAAAATCTGAAAGAAAGAAATAAAATTAAAATTTGTATATACCTATGGGTGAAAAATGCACAGGAAAGTTTGTTGGTTGCCAATGGCCTACTAGACAGAAGGGCTGAATTCCAGGACTTTCTGCTCAACAGGGACTATGATGTCATTTGCCACACCCCTGAGACTTCCTTCTAAGTTGAGCTGAAATCCCTTTTTTGTAGTATCTGAAAACGAAATGGATTTCCCCAGAGACCATCTACTGTATTGTATTGTTACATTGTGCCATGGAGTTGCATCCAGCTTATGGCACCCCCAATTAAGGTTTTTAAAGGTAAGTGAGATGCTTAAGGATCAGATTCACCATTATCAAACCCTCCCATCCGCAAGAATCCTAACTCAAATCTCCTAGTCTATCGCTCTCTCCATTATACCATACTGTCTCTCAGGTAACACAGTGTTCCTTTAAAACTGTTCCCGTTGTAGTGCGAAGTACAGTACTGTACTTGAGAGGGTTAGTTTTCAATGAGCAATTCCGAGCCACTCCCTTCGAGATAAGTCTCGTTCCCCAACACCGATTCCGCAGCCTTCAATTTTTTATTTTTATTTTGGAGTCTCCCGGAGGCAGCTGTCGGGCTTGTTACTAATGAGTAGCAGTTGCACTTCAGCCATTTCCCATGACACCGCTGACGAACGCACCACCAACTTGACCCGACCGGGGCTACCTCTCCACTGAGTGGAAAACCAAACAGCAAACTAACGTAATTTAAAGAAATTTTAGAACCCAACTTCGTGCTTCCAGATCCTTATGCTCGATTCTGCCCCTGGGGAAGGAAACCTCCCGGACATCCCACCCAGCAGTCCCTCAGCGGGTCCGTCCCGGGTGCAGAATTGGGGCGGGGGGGAAAGGAAATCACCGCCCTTTTTGAGGTCTCCCTTTAGCGCTCTGTCCCTCTATCTCCCCATTGGTCGCTCCCACCTCCAGCACGGGCATGTTCGTTTGGGAACCGGAGATGTCGCTAGTAGACCTTCACTGGGGCGGCGCCTCTGCTCTTCCCTCGCGGGACTGCCTGTGATGTCATCGGCCGCATCACCCAATAGGAGGCAGCCGCGGCGCATTCGAACGGAGAATTAGGGGTGCCGCGGGAGGGGCCGTCTGTTGGCTACGGAGGAGGGCAGGTAAGTCACGGCTGGCCCGCAAGATCTCTCTCTCTCTCTCCTGGGTCTCGGGATTTCCCTCACCTGGTTACGATTTAAAAGGTTGTCCCCGGGATGTGTGGACCCGTTGGGCCAGCTTTTGCTTCTGGTTTTGCGGCGGGGAATCCTTTGGCGTGTCAGATTGTTTTGGGACTACATTTCCCACAATCCTGCCCACTGATCATGCTGGCCGGGGCTGATGGAAGCTGGAGTGTCAGAACAGCTTGTTGTTGTTGTTGTTGTTGTTGTTGTTTAGTCGTTGTGTCCGACTCTTTGTGAGCCCATGGACCAGAGCACGCCAGGCCCTCCTGTCTTCCACTGCCTCCCGGAGTTGGCTGTCTGGTTCCTCTGCTTTTGTGGCGGAGGAGCTTGCTCGTTTTCCGCGGGCAGTATCATGGAGCGAGAGAGGGCGCTGTTTTTGCAGAAGTTAAACTATGAACCCCCCTACCCGTTAAAAGCGGCTCCTTTTAATGATGCTCGTGTATTTTCGTACACGAAGAAGCTAACACTTTCCCACTCTGTCGTGCTTTTAATCTTTTAAAGTCCGCAAAGATTCCACCGCATCTGGCAAATTTTTGCTATCAATATTTTGATCGCAGGGATTTGTTTGCCTGGTTCTCTTGTTGCCCCGAGTAGACATTGTCTAGAGGGGCGGGGTAAAGCTCTAATAAATAAATAAATATAATGTAGCAGTATTAGCTAATTGGAGCTTCCAGGCGTCAGGGAATTTTAATTTTCTTTCTCTCTCTCCAACCACTTTGTCTGTTCATGAATTTCTGATTAGCAGTTGGTGGAAACAATTTTTTAGTTATCTTGATGTATGCAAGGACTCGAAAGAAGTCCACTAACTTAATGTCAGGGACCAAGAGTTAGATGTGCTGGACTGGAGGCCAGATCTTGAGAAATCGCCATACAGTAGTTGAAACAGGGACGAGCACCACTGCCTAGAGTTGGACACGACTGGACTAAATGTCAAGGGAAACCTTCACTTTTTACCGATACCAGTTGCCGGTGCTATGGAAAATCAATATCTAGATTTTAGTTTTGCATTTCCAAATACTCGTAATTTGCTGCAATAATAGAGTACATCATCCATTTTACCATAATGCTTTACTTTAAATGTTAACTATAATATATTTTCTCTCTTTCCCCCATTTCCATAGAAAGGCTTTGTTTGTTGACAGTATCATGTATAACATAGTCATTGATATGTCTACTCAGAAGTAAGTCCCATTGACTTAATTCCAGACAAATGGGTACACCATGGCAAGGTTTTTGTTTCACAATGTATATGATTTAATAGGTTTGCACTGAATCTGGATTTAATTTTTTTTTAAAGAATGAATTGTGGAAAATCTTTCAGTAAAACATCTAAATGTTGCTTTTTCCATCTTGCCAAAAAGTCATATAAGGAAACTTTACATATCTATAGAATAACTGGGTATGTTTTCCAGAATAACAATTGTGTTTTTTTTTAAACAGATCCCATGGCGACACATTTTGCTTTATACTGCAGAGAAAGCATTAATCAAATGTGTTTTTCAGGAAGACAGTGTACAAGGAAGTTTTAGCTCTGCAGCTACAACTTGCTTGATTCCTCAATGCCTATCTATACTGTTCCAAAGGGAAACCATATTAGTGTGGCCCGTTCACAGAAGCATGCTGCAGAAAAGTCCTGTGTCAGGGACAGAGTTGGACAGCAGCTTCCACCCAATGTGTCAGAGAATGAGAGATGCAATCCAGTTTCACAGCCCCTGGCTAAGGAACTGAATGCCACCTTTGTGCTTTCTGCCTGCAACAGGCCGGCTAATGCATCTACCCCCGGAGGCAAGTGGACCCTCCAAAAAAGGACTGTGACAAGCCAAGGACAGTCTGTTACAACAACAACATGTGATGGTGAAAGTACACAAACAGAAACAAGGTTGATATTGCAGCGCCGTCTGAGGACTGGATCAGCTGAGAAGCATAACACAAAGGGAACTAATGAAACTGGAGCAGAAAACTCAGTGTCTCTACCAGGGAAAGCCAATACAACTTTATTTGCATCAAAGGCTAACAGTAGGGAGTCTCCCTTTCTGAAGATGGGCCTTCAACCACTTAAAGGCTGTAGGGATGAAAAGACAAATCCTGAGGTGAAAAATCATGTGCAGGTTAGCCAGAGCGGTTCAACTGATGCTGCTAGCTTCAAACCTCTGAAACACAGGATAGCTGTTGCTGATTTTCAGAGTCAGAACAAGGTCCCTAGATCGTTGTTTTTTGCAACAGCAAAAACGGAGGATAGGATAAAATGGGCTGAAGAATGCCGTGTCAGTAAGGAAAATGGAACGGAAAGGCTGCAAAGCAGATTTCTTAAAGCTGAAAATTTGGAAGGGCAGAAGACGCTAAGGAAAGGTCCAGTAGAAGGAGTTAAATGTACTCCCAAATGTGGATCTGTTCAGCATGCTAAGAGTCCTGCTGCCTCCAGTGAGAAGAATAAAGCTCTGTCTCTTGAAGCAATATCACAAAAGAAAGCTAGTACTTCTAATGCATCCATTCTAAGTAGTAAAAATGGAACTGTGCCAGAAAATGCAAGATACGTCCCGCAGTCTTCTTTCCTAAAAGAAGATACTCCAATGCCAAACACGTACATTAACGATGATCCTTTCAAGATAGAAAACAGTAAAGTGACAGTAGCTGTGAGAGTCCGTCCCTTTAGCAGCAGGTACATAAACACTATTTTTCAGGAACTAAAGCTGAGATTTTAGAAATTATGTCCTATTTTTAATATATCAGTTAGCACAGCATGCTGTTGACATCCTATGTGAAACTACGTACAAAACGACTTTGGTTGGGTCTGTACCAAGTGTACCCTAAAAACCAATCTCCAGCTTTACTAATATGAAGGCCATCACCTTTCTCCTTATTTTTGCCTTCTGTATTACTTTGCTTTCCAATTAGGAGTGGGTATTTGCTTCATTTTTGTATTTTGAATGAATGCTGGAATAGACATTGTTATATGTTATGTACATCAAGTTGCTTCCTAGTCACACTAACCCTATTATAGGGTTTTTGAAAGTGTGTGAGATGTTCAAGGAGCAGTGTACCATTGCCACCCCACACTCCCCAGTGAATGTTCATGTCTAAATGTTGACTTGAACCCGTCTCTCCTAAGTCCTGCTCTGACAATCCACACTGACACTGTACACCACACTGGTCTTCATGTCATGATTTTTTCTATATCTCAGTAGCCCTGAGCATAACCTGCACTTTACAGTATCTTACACATAATGATGGTGATCCAATTAGATGTACATGCGGGCTGAAATCCTTTTGGAAGGTTTGCATGTGCAATGCGAATGATGTCGTTATCAGAAGCAAATGGCTGCTGGCTACAGGCAATTTAGGGGTGTGCACAACTCATACAATGTGATCAAGTTGTGCACATTTCAGAATTGCCAAAGGAAGTCTTCAATCAGCACTGATTTTCTGCTGATGAATAACATCATTCGTGTTACATATGCAGATCTGTGCAATAGGATTTCAGCCATTTATTCTGGAGACCCTTTTAATATTATTTAAAAACTGCTTAGTTTGAGGCAGAAGCATATCATTTAGCTTTTTCTTCTCTTCAGCCATGTTGGTAATCTAACTGGCAGCTGTGTTATGCTGTAGCATAATACCAGAAATCTTGTAGCACCTTTAAAATTAACTTTATTTTTATTTTTCATATGCTTTTGCATGTCTAAGCAGGCTTAGCCTTCCGCTGTTTTGGTTAACTTTCAGCCTGCTGGAGAGTTCTACAAAAGTTTAAATCTTGCTTATCACATTGTGATATAAAGGCATTGGTAGCATTTAAACAAGTTGCTTTTCGGCTCATAACTGCGAAAATGGCATTGGAAAAACATGAGTAACTTCATGGTTCATGAACCTTGATGAACCACGAAGTTACTAATGTTTTTCCAACAAACCATGACTCAGTTCGTTGGTTCTTGGGTTTATTTGATAGCCTGTGGCTGTCTGAAGTTTATATCTTGCTTACCACGTTGTGATATAAAGGCATTGGTAGCGTTTAAACAACTTGGGGTTTTGGCTCATAACCGCGAAAGTGGCATTGGAAAAACATTAGTAACTTCATGGTTCATCAACTTTGATGAACCACGAAGTTACTAATATTTTTCCAACGAACCATGACTCACTTTGTTGGTTCTTGGTTTTTTTTTTTGATAGCCTATGGCTGTTTAAAAAAAAAAAGCTGAGCTCCCCTCCCCCACAGTCTGCCCCCTTCCCAGTGCCCCATCGCCTCCCTACCTTGTCCTACTGCAGCCACTGCTGCCACTGCCGCTGTCTCCATTGCCACCACCTCTGTGCTGCTGCTTCTGCTTCTGCTGCCCATAGGCAGAGAGGGAAGGCTAGCTTGTCAGAAGCAAAGCCTTCACTCTCTGCCTATGGGCCTGCTGAACAGATAATTGGCAGCCCCCCCCTCCAGGCAGAGAGGAGATGCCGATTAGCTCTTTGGTGGGCACATTGGCAGAGAGGGAAGGCTAGACTGTCGGAACAGAAGCCATTGTTCTGGCAGTCTAGCTTTCCCTCTGTCCCTATGGGGACGAATGAAAAACAGGTATTCCCTTATTTGTTGAGATTGTCTTAATTGATGAGTACAATTGTCTTTTTTTATTTCTTTTTGAAAGGAAATATTCCACAAATCGGTGATTTCCCACAAATATTGTGATTCCTTTTTCTTCTTTGTCCCCATGTCTACTCATATCTCTCAGAATTTGTCCTGTGGGCTGTGGTATGATGGTAGCTTTAGTCCAGAAAGATAATTTCTCCATGTTCTGAGTACCGCCATGCTATGGCTTTTGAAATTTAGATGAGACATATTTTAATTTTTAGATATCACATCTGCCATAGGCATGCTGTAAACAAATGTACATTGAGCTTGAAATTGAGGTTACTATGAGTATCTTCAATCTGGTGCATTCAGTCCTCCCCATAAATAACTCTTATTTTGTACCTTTATTTAGAGACAAAAATGAAGAAACATTCCAGATAATTTCCATGATTGGACAAGAGACTGTTGTGCACCATCCTAATACGAAACAGATGTACAGCTTCACCTTTGACTTTTCATTCTGGTCTATCAGTAAGAGTAATAACTTTGCAAGTCAAGAGACGGTATATCGGTCCTTGGCCATTCCTCTTCTAGAAGGGGCATTTGAAGGATACAACACTTGTCTTTTTGCCTATGGACAGACTGGCTCTGGAAAGTCATATACGTAAGTTGGACTGGAACTCTTGCACTTTAAGGAAAAGGACAGGGTATATGTTGTCTCCAAGTTTTTCTTAGTAGTTTTTTTATTTCTTTTTGAAAGGTGGAGGCAAATCTTACTGAAGTATGAAAGTGATTTAAGTGAAGTTCTGGAGAAAAGTCTGTTCACAGACTTTAAAAAGTATTCTTTTTAAAGAAAAAAATTACTTAAACTATATAAATGATAAACACCCTCCTCTAAATCAGAGGTCTCCACACTTTTGACCGTGAGGGCCATACCGGATATTTTCAACATTTTTGAGGGCTGAAGGAACAGGAATGTTCACGCGCAAACACACACACATGTCCCAGAGCACGGATGCCCGCCCACCTGCATGCATCCCTCCGCCTGCCCCCCCTACACACATGCCTGAAGGAAATGGGCTGGATAAAATGTCAAGGTGGGCCAGATGTGGCCAGTGGGCTGTAGTTTGGAGACACCTGCTCTAAACCATGATGTGTCTGCTGCCTGATAAGCTATGGTTACATTGTGAGCTAAGACATTAAGCTCTGAAATTATTTCATTCATATCTCAACTATGCCATCTAATCATGAAGTGGCCTTTGGCAAGACTTACCCCTCCATCTGCAATATGAGGATGATGATATAGATCTGCCTGCCAGAGTTACCTGATACCACTCATATTTATCTAGTAGCAAAGATACAGTGGGCAGAAATCTGTTCAGCTGGATCTGGGCACCAGAAATAAAATAATTTAAACCAACGGGTTACTTCCTGTCCCACCTTCTGTTCAGGTTCTAAGGCTCCCTAGGACTCCATGCCAACCGGTTATTTCCTATCCCACCTTCTGTTCAGGTTCTAAGACTTCCTAGGACTCCATTTTGCCCCAGACAAACATTTGGGAGCCTCAGCATGGACGCTTTTAATAGTCACTATTACTCCTGAGTCACCAGACAAACCTTTGGGAGCCTCAGCATGGACGGTTTTAATAGTCACTATTACTCCTGAGTCATGGCTGTGGCTCTGATCCTGGCAATGGCAATCCAGTGGTGATTTTTTTTTGCTATAAAAGCGCCCCCCCCCTTAAAGTTTCCTAAAGTTTCCCAACAGCAAAATGGAGCCGGAGAACCTGAAAGGATTGGGATAGGAAGCATTCAGTTCATTTAAATTAATTTTTTCCAGTACCTGGATCTGTATTATACTGTCATAACTATGCAAATGGGATATTGCCCAATAAGTAAACTTGGTTCTGGATCATTTAAAGAAGAATGTACTGTGTTTCCACTAGCCTGCGCACATTGACAACTTTACAAAGACATCTTGATTAACTTTTATTTTGTTGCAGCAAGACCAATACAAAATCTTGTGGCCCCTTCAGGACTAAGATATTCTATTTAGTATGAGCTCTCATAGACTACAGCCCACCCTTGTAATCTGATGTAAAGCAGTATTGGCTAAGTGTTATTTTTTTAAAATTGCAGAACAGTTGTGGTTCAAGTGAAGTTCATATGTATCCTATATATGTTGATGCTAAGTTAGAGAATTCCAAAGTCTACTTCTGCAGAATTAAAACCTGAGCCCATAGAAATACTGTTTGTCATTGTAGGATGATGGGATTTGATGACAATGAACGAGGAATAATCCCGAGATTCTGCGAAGATCTTTTCACGCGAATAAAAGAAAGAGAAACACAACAGGTACTATAATATGGTTCCTCACCTATGTTGGATTGAACTCTCTTTTCTACCTCAGAGAGGAAGAAAGTTCTTGAGATTAATCATCAAAACCTTTCAGAACTGTAGAGCTGGAAAGGACCCCAAGTGTTATGAAATCCTATCCCCTGACAAAGCAGGAAATCCATAGTTTAAACATCCCTGATAGATCACCTTCCAATGTAAGAGAGTTTGATATGCTTCTGTTTTAAAAATTTCCAATGAAGGAGAGTCCACCGCCTTCTGAGGAGGTCCATTCCACTGTTGAACAGCTCTTCATGTCAAAAAGTTCTCTTACTTGCAAACTCTTTTTGTTATTATGCTTGAAGGTCCATTTCACTATTGAACAGCTCTTCATGTCAAAAAGTTCTTCTTGCAAACTCTTTTTGTTATTATGCTTGAAAAGGGAATAGGGTTTTTCCAGGTTTCTGAACACTCTTGGTGGGAAGTGGCCTTATATGGACATATTTCTCTGCCATCCTATCACTGAGTGAAATTATCTGCCATTTAATTTCTGTGATTCTTTCAGTAAGGTACTGAATGGAAATCATGATGGCCTAATCATATCTTTATGATGACTGTAATGCATACATTATTTTAAGAACACCAGTGCAGTTATATAAACATCTGTAGACTGAGCTATGACTAAGGATCATATACAAATCACATGTATATTTATTTCTATATGCATGTACTTGCATCATAATATTTCTTTGAAACTGGTCAGCTTATGTTGCCCAGGAATGCAACTTGTATCCAGTTGTTCCTACAATTTTCAACCCCTAGATAGATATTTAGGTGTTGAAACCCAACTGGGTAGGTTTTAAAGAACTCATAAAATTGATGATGAAATACTTGGTATTCTGTTCCTTCAGCCCAATGTTTTTCATACCTCTGTAATGCTGCTGCCTTTTTCTTCTTTTCAGTTAGAGGACACTGCTGTACAGCACTAGCCTTTATCATTCAAAGGGTGACTTTATAACAACTTAAGTTTGAGCTTGTGTTCCAAATATTACAAAAGTTTTTTTTAAAAAAATAAATAAGATAAACTTGCCATATGTAGAACCTGGACTAAGGTACCTGAAGTTTTGGAACATCTGAAAGTATTGTTTATTTTTTTGACAGAAAGAAGCCTAGAATGCTCCTCAGGTTTTAGTGCCATGATCCTTGGTCACAGCATTGTTTAAAGATGTTTATATCTGCTCTCGTACATTTAACTTGAATTTGTGCATCACAAACAGTTGCAAGAAAGATACTAATTTTTTAGCAGGTTAAGGCATCAATAGGTGAAATATGGGCAATTTTAAAGAAAAATTGTATGTGATATCTATTCTGTGAAGGAACTTGCTTTGAGCTTAAATGTGTTTAAATGCAGTGGTCCCCAGCTTTGAGCCCCCAGATGTTCTTGGACTTCAACTCCCAGAAATCCTGGCCAGCAGAAGTGGTAGTGAAGACTTCTGGGAGTTGTGGTCTAAGAACATCTGGAGGCCCAAGGTTGGGGACCACTGTTTTAATAGGATAGTCACTCCCTACCACCTGTAAAGTTTTTTTTTTGTTCTTGCCAAATTACCTCAGAAATGCATGGAAGTAACTCCTTTTGCACAGCTAGATCTCAGTTCTGTGAAGGTCCCATTAATATGAATCCAGACATATCTAGCTAGTCTTCACACAGTTGTGATGGTAGCAGTGTATCTTGAACGTGATCCTAGCACTTTTGTCTGGGAGCTGAATGTACTGCCTGCTGATATTCTTGAGAAGTGGAGCAGAGAGGAGAATGTGATCCTAACACTTTTGTCTGGGAGCTGAATGAACTGCCTGTTGATTGCTGAACAGCTGGTATTCTTGAGAAGTGGAGCAGAGAGGAGAATTCACCTTTCGCTGTTCTGTCAAGAGAAACCCAACTAAATGAGAGATTCCCTATCCCTGGGACTGTGTCATTTGCTCACACTCATTCGGAATCTCTTTTCTACGATACCATTACATGACGGGGGAAATGCTTCCATGCTGTGAAGGAAACACAGCAAGCCTTGTTCTTCACATTTTTCTAAAATGCATTAACAATAGTCCAAATGTTTGTCTTTGTTTCTGTTAGACCTCTTATCATCTTGAAATGAGCTATTTTGAAGTTTACAATGAAAAAATTCATGATTTGCTCGTCTTCAGTCGTGAAAATGGACAGGAGAAACAACCGGTAACTTGTTGTATTCTGTATGTACTGTTAGCATATTGTAGCTGATATCCAGTAGTAAATCACAACCAGAGCATGCATGTTGAATCAATGACATTTGTGGAGGAACTGACCGACCAAATCCCCACTAATTCTATGGGTATGCTCTGGTTCTGACTTAGTACTAGATTTCAGCCAGAATAGTACTCTTAGATGCAAACTGGTCTCCTGATAAATTAGGAACTGGATTATTTTTGCTGAGTGATGTCCGATTTCAACATCAGAAGCACAGAAACAGATAAATGTCTATCTGAAGGATTCCATCTGAGAATTCAGCAAGGAAGTATAAAGGGGCAGATGGTGGATTATACCAACTCCTGTTTTCTTGGATCCACTGAAATCCTAACAATAGTTTATTGCAAATTCTACCCAGGTTCCCTATGGGGTCTTAGACCTACTGTATGTGTGATCTGCTTGTGGGTAAACAAATCCTGCATAGGCATGGAGCAAGTGAAGTTAAAGAGCATCGAACTTCAGGGTTACCTTTTTATTTTGTTTTAATATCCTGCTTTTTTAAAAAGCTGGGGTGGAGTGGGCTTTTAAACGTCTTAAAACGTGGTTTGCACAAAACTTTGTTGCAATTTTTATTTTGACTCCTTTTCGTGGTGTTTAAATTAAGTGACCCTGGAGTGGCAGAAAGGAAAAACAAGTGGGTCCTAGATCAAATCAATCTTGAACCGTCTCTGGAGGCAAGAATATTGGAACTGAGGCTGTCTGACTTTGGGCACACATTGTGAGAAGGCAGGATTTTCTGCAAAAGATAATAATCCTGGGAAAGGTGGAAGGCAGCAGGAAAAGAGGAAGACCAAATATGAGATCGGCTGATTCCCTAAAGGAAGCCACAGGATTGAGTCTGTAGGGGTTGAGCAGAAGACAGGCCGTTTTAGAGGTTGCTCATGTATAGGGTTGCTGTAAGCTGAAAGTGACTCGATGGCACATAACAACAACAAATGAAATGTGCTTTGAACGCAGATCACCTTTTAAAAAGGAGTTTCAGATGTTGTTTTGCTATATATACTGTATATAAAATGGCCTTGTAACTGATTTGTATTTCTAATCAGCACCATCTCTTCTGATTAACAGCTTCGTGTAAGAGAACATCCCGTCTTTGGCCCCTATGTGGAAGACCTCTCTGTGTAAGTCTGCATGTTTGTGGAATTCTTCCTCAGCTCATATCTGTGTGTACTGATCTTTTACATGACTTGTTAGAAAGCAAACATAAAGCAGAAGACTACAGTCAAAGAATTTGTTGGTTACTTTGAATTGGTTCTTTTCTCAACCAGACTTCTTGTTGGCCCTGTAAGTTTTTTGTTCATAGCCTCCTGTTTGATAACTGCTTTTCCCCAGACCTACAGTATGTGTCTTCCACACACCATTCCCTGCTATATTGTCTTCTTTCCGCCACACTGCCTCTTTTCCTTTCAAATGGGCTATTCCATCTTCTTACGCGATTTCTAGTCCCAACCATGCTCTGCTTTTCTTTTCCGATGTTTAATTTTAGCCAAACATATCTCCTTCCCTTTTCACAGGGAAGCTGGGCTGCCAACATTCACACATTTTGTCATTGGTACTGGAGGCCTCGTTCTCACAAATATGGCAAATTCCAGTAAACTTTTGTGTAGATGTGGGCTTCCATTCCTGCAGGGAGACGCACACAGGTTATTTTGCTGCTTGAATAATTCTTTTAGCTTCACTTGAAGATACCTGGCATGTAAGTTACATAAAATTGGTAGGATTTAGGTGTGTTTATATACTTATGTAGTTAAAAATTTTTTTTCTTAACAAGTAAAAATTGCTTTTTCCCCCCTCCCAGGAATGTTGTTAGTTCTTACTCTGATATCCAGGTAAGAGTTTGGTGTTTTATTGTTTGAATTATGAATACATCAGCCTTTGAAGTGCCTATGTAAAAATATTGTTACTAGTTTCCATTGATCATTTAAAAAAAAAAAAACATTAAGAGGGTAGGTAGACAAACGTCTGATGCCCAGGGGCCACCAATACCCATTCTTGGATCCTGTTGGGCTGGTGTACCCGTTCTGCAATATTTATACCCTCATGTTTTGTCTTATCAGTTTTTTTTAAAATTGAAAAAGCTCCCTTGCATGAACTAGTGGAAAAAATGGCGGGGGAATTTAAGTGGTGAGGTGCAAAAGGCCCTCAAAACATGGCAGAATGTTCCCCATGTCTCTAAGAGAGCACAAATGGACTTTCTAAGCGAAAAATTTTTCAAAGCTTTTATGGTTTTGGGGGGTGGGGAGGGCATGTCTATCCCTGATTGAGAGTGATGGAGAAGGTAGTTCTGATATCTTCCCTGATTCTCTATAAGTAAATAGTAAAATATTTGAAGTCACAATTACTTCTTTGTATTAGGACTCTTATACTCGAGACAAAGTTATTTGCTGGGCCAGGTCTTCTGATTTCATTACTTCATCAGGGCTTCTGTGAGAAATAGTCAAAGGCTTTATTTTTATTTACATGTTCCTTCTTATTTGAAGAGATGCTTCTCTTCAGTAACAGGACTGATTCACAACAAAGTAAAACACAAGTTAAAACGGAAAACCAAGAGAAAGTCACAAACCAATCCCACAAAAACAACAACATGACTGCTACCAAGCCACTTTTGGGTATTGCTGAGAGGAGACTATGAAACCTCATTTGTGTAAGCTGTATGAATGCAGGTCTGCCTGTCCGACACAGAGAACAGCACATGGAACTGTCCCATAAAAGCTAACACTCTCTTTGGCATCTCCAGTGGTTCATAGCCTCACATGTTGCGAAATGAGGTGCCTCTGTACTTGGACATCTCCCCAAGCAGTTTGACCATTCTGCAAGATCCTGGCATGCAGGATACTTGTGGGTAAAGGGGAGGGAAACTACTTGCAAGGCCTTGGCGAAGTGCAGGCTGCTGAGTGAGGCAAAGGAAGTCTTTGCTTCGGTTGCACAGTGCAGTTACATGCTTGGTTGAGGCAGCAAGGGCAATACTATCTTCTAGGAATGACTCCACAGGCTCCTTTACATGTGCAAAGCTAGCAGGATTCTCCAGTGCCTTCAGTGGCTAGGGATGAACAATGGATTATTTCCAAATGACATATTCACTTCTGTTACTCACATTTTGCATTGAATTATTAGACAACTTAAGGCAATCCCTCACAATTATTAGTCATCTTATTAGTCAACCTTATGGCAGGTTGAAAATCTGGATAAATCATGATTAAGTGTACTGTTGTTTAAGCTGATCATTTGACTTCATATTTTAACTTTTAAGAACTGAATATAGTTTCTCAAAGTATTCATATCCTCTCTTTCTTTTAGCATTGGCTCCAGTTAGGAAATAAACATAGAGCTACTGCTGCCACGGGCATGAATGACAAGAGTTCTCGATCCCATTCTGTTTTCACCTTGGTGATGACACAAACAAAGGTACGCTGTGACTTCAAAGGAAACAATCATTTTAATCTTCAACAAGGTATCTCTTCGTTTCCCACTGGCACAAAGAGCATCATTATCTCCCAACCCCCAATAATATAGTAATCACTGAGAAAATAACTGAGCCCTTTATATATTGCCTAGGAGATAATGGGAGGATATTGAGTAGATAATTCAGCTATTCATATGCTTTTTTAGGAAATCATGGGCTGGATGTGAAGGAGGCACACATGAATAAAACCTTATTTGAACATATTAAGGCAGTCCCTCACATAACTCTTAATTTCCCCCTCTTGGTGTACCCACTTATGTGCCATCTCATTCCATTCCAAAGAGTAATAATCTGGAGCTATTTTGAGCTTGAGCCCCAGCTTTCTGTTTAGGTAGTAAAGCTACTGTAACGTAGCAGCAGGCCACTCTGATGTCACCTCCAACTCAGGCCTCTCAGAATGCCCACCACACTACTTCACGCACGCTGCCACCAATTGTATGACTGTATAAGAAGGACAAAGGTTTCCTTCAAAACAAAACAGGTTTATTGATAACAAAATAAAATATGAAAATCACAAGTAGCTAATCACGATGTCATTCACTGTATCTTATTTAATCAATCACAGACTTCCCTCACTGAACACTTTGGCACACAGGCCTCTAAACAAACTCTTTCTCTCTCACACTCCAGATCTGATCTCCCCCACACTCTTCACACCCCTTTTTATTCCAGCTCCTCCCTCTTCAGCCCCACCCTCCGTCACCCCATTGGCTGCTGATTCACTGCCCAGCTGTGATGGACAGGTGGGGTCAGGGCTGCCTGTTACAGCTACCTATTTAACTAACTGTTTTATTTCAGACAGATACTGTGGAAAAGGAAGAACATCAACACAGAATTATCAGTCGCGTTAACCTTGTAGACCTAGCAGGTAGTGAGCGCTGCCGCACAGCTCAGACCAGTGGAGAAAGACGGAAGGTAAAAAAATTATATAAAATATATATAATAGCAATTTGCTTGATATCAGGTACCTCTCCAGAACAGAATAAGCTGTATTGTTTGTCCCCATGCCACATAAATCCTACTATAGTGTAATTCTTGGTCCTCTGACACCTAACTTGAAAAACAAGGAAGCATTTATGAATATATAGAGAGCCATTTTACACAGGATAGGACCGCTAGACACTTCAGTATTGTCAGCTTTGACTTTTGGACTGATTCTCCGGATTTGTTACTGAAAGCTTCCTCAACCAACCCAAGTGGAGATGAACCTGAGATCTTCTGCTTGCAACACGTGTACTATGCTACTGAGCGATGGACTCTGTCTTCACTTTATCTACAGGGTGAACAATTAGGGGCATCCTAAATGCTGTTGGACAATAACATTCCTCACTCTTCCCCATTGCCTCTAGCTAGACCTGATGGGAGATTTAGCTCAATACATGTTGCTTTCCATGATATATGCAAACAAATGTATGTAGCCTGCAGTATCCCTTGATACTGTAGAGCCAAAGTTTTCCAGAATTGTCTGCACAGTTTAGCAAAAATGTCCATAGTGCCCTAGTGAACATGCAGTGCATCCGTACTGAAAAAGTAAAGAGTGGTTTGCTTCATCCCTAGTTAGATCTGCAGTTTTTCAGCAGCTGTTGAGTAAATAAACATAGTGACTAAAAAAGGTAATACTGTGATCCTTCCATAGGTGTTGGAAGTTTAACTGGGACATGGAAAATGGTGGTAACCATTGTTGATTTCTAGGCCAGCCTATAGCCGATTGTGAGCAAGACATATTAAGCATCTTTTATCTGTGCGTTATTTTTCAAAAATAAAACAAATGTTAGTGTAATGAATAGATACAAGTAACAGGTTTGGGCATTGAATGACATAGTAATGGCTCAACTAATAGCGTGAATTAAACTCATTTAGAAAACCGTGCAATGTAATTCTATGTACTGTATATCTACACAAAAATAATTCTCACTGTAACTAATAGCATGAATTAAACTCATTTAGGGAACCATGCAATGTAATTCTATGTATATCTACACAAAAATAATTCTCACTGAGTTTAGAATTACTGCCATAACATGAGAAGTGGCCTGGAATTGAACATGAATTATTCTGTGATTATCTAAAGGAGTATATTCCCCTATATGAACCTGTCTGGCTTTTGAGGTCCTCAGAACAAAACCTTTTCTTTGTCCTGCCAACCTTGGAGTTGGATGCAAGACAAGGCTTTCCTGGTGATTGTTCCCAGTCTCTAGAGGCCCCCTTCTTTGTTATTCTACCAGCAGGCAAAATCATTTATATTCAGATGCTCTTTTGGCAATTGACTGAGTGCTGAGAGAAGGCCTTTTAAAGGGTGGGTGTCTTATTGCTGTGCTTTTTCGTTGGTTTTAATTCAATTGTGTCATGGTTTTATCTGTCCCTTTTAATCCTCATTGTGAGCTGCCTTGAGTCCCAGTTTTGAGACCTAGAAATCAAGTAAATAAATTAATAAAGGGATGTCCACATTTCTGAGCTGAGCAGCAAACAGAGATACATATATGCTGCTTAGCACAGTGCCCTTAACATAGTTCAGTAGAACATAGTTATGATAAGAACTATGAAAATAATTTTAAGTGGCTGAAATCCTGTTGCTCAGCATACGCTAAACTAACTTTTGGCACACACATGGATGTATGTTCTTGAGAGCTGCAGCAGGGATGGCTTGTTTACTAGGGAGAAACAGACCCAAAATCCTAATTCGGCTTATGCTAAGCAACAGGATTTCAGCCATTATGTGGCTGGTGTGTCGTGATGTTAGCGAGCCTCTTGATATCTATGCAGCCTGATGAGCTTGTTTCTCTCTTCTTCTTCTTCTTCTTCTTCTTCTTCTTCTTCTTCTTCTTCTTCTAAACCTTTTGAATAGTTAAAGAATAAGCACATTAATCAAAACATCAGAATTTACTTTTATATAACCATTGGAGCTGGGGCCAATTTTTGAGTGTATAGATTTTTGGTTGAAGTATATAGCTGATTGGTGATATGTGTTAATATAAAACATGCTTTCCACAATGTTGCATGCTATAATGATATCTTTTCGAAAGAACTGCAATCTGTGCTTCTAAAAAAATCTAGAAATTACCCATCTTGAGTGTGTTCTGTTGCTTGTTTCTTTCTTCTTTCATACAGGAAGGTGTGAGTATAAATAAATCCTTGTTAACTTTGGGTAAAGTTATTACAGCACTATCTGAACAAAACCAGACCAGGAAGAAGGTGTTCATTCCATACCGTGAATCTGTCCTTACGTGGTATGTAAATATTTTGTGTATTGCAAGCTTTTTTGTAGTGACTTTTTCCTTCCCAGCTGTACCAAATTACGTATTAACAGATCATTGGGGGAGGACAATTTGTGATAGTAAATATTGTAACTATTTCCCAGAGGGTTCTAACCTAACTCTGACTCACTTTGGTCAGAAATTATTTCCTCTTTCCATCTCACTCATTTTGGCTATTCTTTTTCTAATTCTTGTCAATAAGACCGAGTTACCCCACAGCAGTCTAGAAGAAAAGATGTCCGTATTCACAAGAGGCATGGTGCTATCAAGTGACCACTTTTAGGGTTAATATTCTTAAACATTTTACTCAGTAGTAAGTCCTGCTGTGTTCCGTGTGCATAGATTTGTAGCCTAAAGCTGCAGTCCTACGCTCACCTAGGAGTAAGTCCCAATGAATTTCTGAGCAGATATGCGTAGAACTTTATCTCTCCCATATCAATCATTTGAGTTTTAAAAAGATTGATGTGACAGTGCCCTATGCTTTCAAGGGACAGGCAACCTAGAGTAAAATAAGCATATGTTCATATTTTTCAAGGGATATTGTAAATCATAGGGAGTGTATTGGAATGCTTCTGTCTAGACCACAGCTGTCAGGTTGTCCAGTGCCGAGGACCAGTATTAATATATATCAGTGTGCACACTCTGGCATTTAAACCAATCCTGAAAACATGCCACTAGAGATGGTAGACCATGTTGTACTTATTGTTGGATTAGTTTTTGTTATTTATGGATAAAAATAGCAAGAGCTTAATATTTGATAGAGGGATGTACAAGTCTATGCCATCTCTATGTCCCACTTCAGATTCTTGGCCTACCAATTCTTTGAACTAACAGCTACATGTAAGATCCGGCTTTTAAGAGAGAGGCGTGCTTTGTTCAGCGTGGGTGACATGTTTTTCTCTTCAAGTCCATGATGCAGTCCAAAGCCTGGAGAAGTTCCTTTTTTTTAACCATAGCTCCTGAAATTGCTGGGTGGCTTGGGAACTCAGAGAGCGGTTCAGCTTGCAGTCATTTCACTTCTGATTTGGGCCACCTCCATCTTTATAGCTTACTCTCTGTTATGATGCCCTCTCGACTGCTGTCCACTTCAGTTTTGGGAGGAGCGGCTTCCCATGCCTTTTCAGAGACCAGGTGCCCAGAAGTATCTGTATTATTACAGAGCTCAGCCTATTTGTTGGTGTTGATAAGATTCTTGAGTCTAAAAAACTAGAGAAGATGAGTCGTAACACTGGGATTGGGCATAGGCAGCTTGGGTGGAGAAGGTGGGCAAGACCTGACTCCATATATGATGAAATTAGGAACTCTTGTTCTAATATATGTAGAGGAGTGGATTTGATAGCAAAGTTATAATGATGTACTCTTTTACTACATCAGAAAATAAATGTAGAAGTTTGAATTTTTTCACGTTAATTGAGAAAAATCACTGTGACTGTTTTATTTTTTTGTGTTTTTTTTTTTAATTTCCTTCTAATGAAGGCTGTTAAAGGAAAGCTTGGGTGGAAATTCAAAAACTGCTATGATTGCCACAATAAGCCCTGCTGCCAGCAATATAGAAGAAACTCTTAGTACACTTCGGTATGCTAAACAAGCATGTTTCATAGTCAATGTTGCCAAAGTAAATGAAGACATCAATGCTAAGTTAATCCAAGGTAAGCCTGGCCGTCAATTTGTTTCTTACTTTTTAAAGGGCCATTTCTTATCTATTCTTAGATATGTGCAGATCTTACAGAGTGTACACTTAAGAGAAAGGAATGTGGAAGATATAGGCACAACTTGAGAGCAATGAGAACTTGTAATTTAGACATTCCTAAGTTGCAAGAGCTTTTTTGTATGATGATGCAATAGCATTTTCCTCAATACATAGCCAGCTTCAAAGACCTCTATATGAGGGGAAAGAATTTAACTTACTAGTAGTTAAATCACCTCCTGTCATCTCAGGAGTTATTTGTAGCCCATCACAACTGTCTGATATCTGTATGTGATGCTTTAAAAAATACTGTACTTAAATACTTGGTTTTATTTATTGCAGAGACAGAAACTTTAATTGCAGGTAGCATCTTTTGAATTCAGTCTGTTTCTTTTATTTGTCATAATTATTTCTCAAAATGAGATGAAGCTGCTGCATATTTCTCACAAATTTCAGCAAAATATGTGTTAATATATGGGTTACTGTTTTGACTAATTGTTGAGCCCCAGAAGAACGGAATGATAAACCACTTCTGAATATTTCCTACCTGGAAGACCCTAAAAAGGGTCACCATAAGCCAGAATTTACTTGATGCCACGTGATGATTATTATTAATATAGAATTGAAAGATGAAATTAAGAAGTTGAAATTGGCTCAGAAGAACGCGCAGAATCATGACCCTGAAAAACAAAGACATTATGTTCAAGAAATAACATCCCTTCGAATGAAGCTATACCACCAAGAAAGAGAAATGGCTGAAATGCAAAGGTAATAATTCTTTCAATTTTTTTTGAGTAATTTTTTTTGTAAAGGAAGCAGTTCACCAGTATTATTTTTGATTTTATCATTGAAATGTTGCCTATATAGTGATTGTCCATAAATAAGTAAATAGTTCATATGTAGAGTTGGATCCATTCTGTTACTTGCATTTAGGTCCTGTTGAACCTTAGCAGGACTTGAGTTACTTACAGATAACTTTTCATATGAATTTCAGTGGTATTAAAGTGTAACTAATTCTAGAATAGATCCAGTGGCTGAAATTGTGGTGCACACAGGTATGCAAATAGCATAGCTTTGGGAAGCAAATTGCCTTAAAAGAAATGTCTGTAGGTCTTTTGCATGCTAAGTTGCATGACTTTATTTAGAACGGGTTATGTCTACAGAGACTTCTTATGATGATTTGCTTCCACTCGTTTGTCTAACTATGCAGCAGGATTTCAGCCAATGAACCCTTAGCATTAGTTGATCAAACTGCTGAATCGCATCAGTAATCAATAAACACAACCAGTTTTCCAAAATGTGGTAGTTCATAGCATAATGAAATTCTTCCACTTGTTGCATGTTACGTTGATGCTTTAGAAATATATTATAAATTGTTTTAAAACCCCACTAATTATTAACCAGAATCCTGTCTTGAAATACCATACATATAATGGCAATTGTAAAAGCAGTTTTCACATTTTGCTGACATGTCATAACCCATAGTACAATCGGATGCACAACCAGTTATATAACCTGGACATGTGAACATTTTCTGTTTAAGCTGTGCAGCTGAGTCAGACAACATGCCATATGCCAAGTGGGATGTAATTTTCTAGTAGGGTTTTGGGTGAATAATAGAGATGGGCACAAACCACTTGGTCAGCAGTTCGTGCTGGTTCGTCTTTTGGACAAGCAGGTGTTTGACGCTTCCTGGCCCCGCTTCCTGGTGGGCACCTACTCAGAGGCAGCACCCAGAGGAGGTGGGGCAGGGAAGTCAGGCACTGCCTCTGAATGGGTGCCCACTGGAAGCGGTGGGGTTGGGATGCGCCAAACAGTTTTTTGTGTGCGAAAGACGAACTGGCATGAACTGCCAAACCAGTGGCTCACGCCCATCTCTAGTCAACACCACAATGGACAGCCAGCAACCCTGTGCACACCACTGGAATGATTTCTGATATACACTGTCCAATACCATGAAGTTGTGGCGCATTATATTTTCAGAAAGAGTTAATTCTTTTGAGCTGAACTCATTCTTGAAGATTTTGCATGAAGTTCTTATCTATAGATATAATTATAAAACACAGACCATGTTTAATTTCTATCAGTATTTTAAATATACTCCTATCTGGCTGTTATATACTAGATCTGTGTATTGTATTTGTTCTGTATATCAAATTCTCAGATAAATCACTGTGGTTAAAAATTGAATTATCAGTGATGTTGAATTAAGTCTATAGTCACTCTCAGATTAGACCTACTAAGAGCAGGGTAGCACATTTGTCATAATTTATGGCAGGTCTTCTGGCTTCACTGTGTATATGCTAGATATGACTAAGTCTGGATTCAGCCCGCAAGTAATATAAGACTCTTACGTTTGCCTCTACTCTTATTGATACTCATGTTATGAGATGAAGATTGTCATCTTGTTCACAGTGCAAGATAACAAAGACATTTTAGCTGTAACTCCAGTCTTCTCTGGATTTTGTTGGCCTTAAAAAGTTACTTACGAAATAGTAACATTACTGTCTCATGATGCTAATTCTCTCTCCTCGCAACCTCCATTAAAGGGCCTGGAAAGAAAAATTCGAGCAAGCAGAAAAAAAGAAATTTGAGGAAACAATGGAGTTACAGGTACCGTCCTGCAGTTAAATTCAGACATTGGTGCAAAGCAATTAATTTTTTCCCACGTGTTACTCTTTTTCTTTACCTTTCTATATTACATTCCTAAAAAGAGCAGGTGAATAGAGAAATCAGATTTAATTAATACAGTATACTGAATTTGATCATAAGAATAATTTCTCACTTTTTGGACCCTTCATTTTAGAAAGCAGGCATTACATTCAAGGTAGACAACAGTTTGCCTAACTTGGTAAATCTCAATGAAGATCCTCAACTCTCTGAGATGTTGCTGTACATGATTAAGGAAGGGGAAACTACAGTTGGGAGGTGCAAGGGAAATTCACATCATGATATTCAGCTGTCTGGCATCTTGATTGCTGATGACCATTGGTAAGTGTGTCCCTAAAGAATTGTATCAGTGAGAAATGTGTTCAGAGTCTCTTTCATGGCAATGTGTTGCAATTTCTATTGAAATTAACATGGGTATTACGCTGGGTAGATTTCCAATTCAAATCTAAAACATATTTAAATGGAAGCAAAAGGGACTTTGATTAGGGTAATGGCCAGATGGGATTCATGGGTGGATAAATTTACCAATGGCTTCAAATCATGGCTATTAGAAACATCCACATTCACAGGCAATATATTTCTTAATGTGGGTTGCTGGGGGAGAACAGGCCAGTTCCGACTGATCTCCTTATGGATTGGCCAGAAACAACTAGCTAACCTCTGTAGAGAACTAGGACACTGACTCAAATATATGGATTGTGCTAGCATGGCTGCTCATCTATTTTTTGAAGTATCCTTATATTTTGACATCCTAATTTTTAAAAAATCAAGTATTTTAGTTTCTGTGCTATAGTATGAATTATAGCTGTGATCCTAGTGAGACTTGAGTCCTATTCCAGGCATTATAGTCCATGGAAACAAGTTTCATGGAGAGTGCCCTGACCCTATCTCCCGTAAATCTCTGAATTTTTCATTTTTCTGCACCAAAAGGGTGAGGGAGAGTATTGAGCAGGAGAATTTCCATTACAGGTCAAGGTTTTCAACATGAGCTAGAACCCCTTGTTTTCCATGGATTCTAGCGTGCCTCCAAATCTCAACACTTTCCACACATAGGAGGGCGATGGAGGTGACAATGGAGGGGCTGGGCCAGAGTCTTCTTGCAAGTTTTCTCCACTGATTATAACAAATCAGTTAGTGCCTAATTCTCTGAGTTCAAGGAATCAAAAGTCTCCCAGCCCTATTGAACAGCAGCTCTTCTGTGATATGAAATGGTAGTTTCCAAAGCAAGTTGTGTTGTGACAAAGGAGTTTTAAAAAGTTCACTGAGTTGTTGTGTTGACACTTTGGATGCTGGTAGCATGTGTACCTTCAGAAGTGACCAACTAGTATTTTTTTTTTTTTTAAATTTTGAAGCTCTGTGCTTAATAAGTAATTTTTCTTATTTGTAGCATTATCAAACACATGGGTGGTGCTGTGAGTGTTATTCCACTAGGGGAAGCGAAGACATACGTGAATGGGAAATGCATTTCTGGACCTACATTTCTACATCATGTAAGCTGCTTGGAACAGAGATAAATATATTAGTGGGGTCTTGACTTAAGAACGGCTTGAGTTAAGAACATTTTGACTTAAGAACCACTCTCATAGGAAAATATTGACTTGACTTACATACTTAGATTTGAGTTAAGAACTGAAAAAAACCACGTGGGAGGCAGGGAAAGTGCAAAATCTGAACTTTCAGTTAACTGTTGGCCAGTGAAAAGGGTGCCTGTCTGCTTCCTCACTCCTCCCAGCGTTTAGAGAGCGGATTGGGAGACAGTCTTCAGACTGCCTGGTACTGTACTGCCTGGACTGTATTTTCCCTGCCTTCCCTGAACCTTTCTTGACCTAAGAAAAAAAGAAACAAAATTTCCCTCTCTAGTGGTCGAAGGCAGAATAGCAGCTTCCCATTAGTTTCTATGGACGGAAAAGAGCAGATACGGATCAAATGGTTTTCAATGCATTCCTATGGGAAATGCAGATCTGACCTGAGAACTTTTTGACTTGAGAACCGCCTTCCAATACGGATTAAGTTCTCAAGTCAAGACCCCATTGTATTTACTTGTGGGTTACACAGGCTGTATGGCGATTCAAGGTAGCTTTTGGGTGGCTAGACAGAACATTATTCCACTTTGCCCCATTGCTTCCTAATTCCTTATTATATGAAATAGCCAATATCTCCTGAATGTTTCTAGGGTGATCGTGTCATTCTTGGAGGAGATCACTATTTTCGCTTTAACCATCCAGGAGAAGTTCAGAAAGTAAAAAGTCTGTCTTGTGGGGCTTCGCTTGCAGAGGACAGTCCAAAAGGCTTTGAATTTGCAAAAAATGAGTTGCTGGCTGCGCAAAGGGCTCAGTGAGTAGTCATAGGTCTTCTGGCTTAAATGATAAATGTTCCCTCTTTCATATTATACAAACACTGCATGCTAGTTCCTTGAACTTTGATGCATAGATCTAAAAGGTGAAAGGATTGTTAAAAAGTGCGTAACATGTTTAAGAGTCTTTTAATTTTATATGTGTATAGAAGCTGGAAAGCATTTAATTACTGTGAATAATCACATATGGTACTGGGCACATGAAGATTTTCTCCCAATAGGAAAGAATTATATAGCAACCAAGATTGCTTGTGCATGGATTATAACATTTACTTTGCTTTTAAAAACACCTTTAGACTTGAATCAGAAATAGAGGAAGCAAGACTGAAAGCTAAGGAGGAAATGATACAGGGGATCCAGATTGCAAAAGAAATGGCCCAAGAAGAACTTAATTCTCAGCAGAAAAATTACGAGAGCCAGATAAAATCATTAGAAGCACAGCTGGTAAGTCATTACTGAATATTCCAAAGTAAAGTGACTTGATCCTACTGTAAGTGGTGTGCTAGAGGACGTGGCTCTCACCATTCCCATCAAAAGATGCATCTGTCAGTCAAGAAAACTGAATAAGTGCTGCAATGCACATAAGAACAAAAATATTGGTGTGCACTAGTAACTGCACTGACCGTATGTGCTGATCTTCATTTTGGAGGAGAGAAAATAAATACAAATGTACCCAATAATTTAACTGGATTGTGAGCTGTGCTGCTTGTGGTAGATTTTTGCCACTAAAACAATCAAGCAGCTGTGACGAACTAACATATTGCCTTGCTAATTACAACAGCTACTCGTCGGTGTAATCTTCTGATCTGAGCACACTGTCTCACTTTTATTTTGCTGATTATGTTTTTCTAAAATGGATGAAAACACAAATACGGTATCCTTAAGGAAGCTAAAGGAGAAAGGAAGGGTAAAAATACTTTAAATAAAATAAAAAATAGGTTGTTCTTCCCTACCTGACAGTGATATGCTAAATGTTCAGCTAAGTGACTGGCTTCCAATTCTAAGCCTCTGTGTTTGATTCACGGGTAACCCTACTTGGTTGTTAACCTAACAGAATTCCTTTAATTCTGTTTTAATATGTGAATAATTTATTGTTTTTAGCGGGGTTTTTTAATGATGTAAGCTGCCTTTGGTCCTTTTATGGAGAAAGGTGGGGTATAAATATTTTAAATAAATACAATTACATTTATCTGTTTCATATCTTGTAAAATAAATAAATATCCAGTTGTTACCAGCATGCTGAGGGAGCTGTCATTGCTTTCTGTGCACATGGAGTGCAGAGTATCTAGAGATACTACTTGCATATAAGCTCTACACATGACCAAGAACCCCAGTTTTCCAGGGTTTTTGCTCATATGTAAACACAAGCAGGGGCTTCTCCTTTTTTGACACATTATTCTCAATGTGAAGAAGGTGACTATGGATGAGGAAAAGTTAGTTGTTCCTCTCCTAAGTGTGTTGATAATAACTGAGCAGGTTAAGAATGGAATAGGGTTTTGGAAGTGGGATGGTTCTGCGTTGCAATGGGGGAAGGGATCTCCCCCTCTTGATGTGTGTCCATACAATTAATTTAGAAAGGAAAGGTATTTCACTTCACGGGATGTTTCTCTCTTCCCAAGATAATGTAAACAGGAACTTGGTTAGGTCATTTCCCTCCTACTTTTTAGTCTTCTAACTGATGGCCTCTTGCTCCCAGTGTTCCATGACTTCTTGCTGGTGGAGCAGGTGGGGAGAACCAGTGAGCATGTTTTGGCTTTATTAATGTGCTTTTAAAGCTTATTTCTTTATAACAATATTTCTCAGTCTTATATCTTCCACACGTGTTGGCAGTGTGGCTGTTGTGGGATGGGGGACTTGTAACTCAGCACATCTAAAGGCATGCGAGGTTGACGAAGGCCACCTTAATTTATCAGCGATTGTATTTCCAAGTAGTTCATCTGCAAGTCTGCACAAATTACTGTGGATCAGTAGTGAGAAGGTGAGAAATGCAGAATTGGGGCACTGAAATAAAATATTAGGGAAGATTGGTTGGTTGTTGAATGGACAGAGCAGATCTGAAAAATCCTTTCAGTAAAAACAACTTAAGTACATATGGAAGAATGTAAAAATAACCTCTTACTCCTTTTTAAGGAACATGACCTAATCTGTCTAGTTAGCAGATATAACAGCAAAGATCCATGTTGTTCAGAGTTATTCCAATATTATTTTTCTTTTTTCCGTAAAGCTGCATTTCAGGGTGAGAGCACCTTTGTAATTATTCCCCATCCCTGATTCCCATAGTAGCTATTTTTGCGTAACCAGCAGTATTCAAGCTTCTGACCCTCAGGGACACCTTTCCAAATTGATTTTATCTGTCAAAAAAATACACAGGAATGAATGAATCTGCTTCACGTTCTGTATTGTTTGTTCCAAATTGTTTGTTTTGGGATAATGACTTTGGTTGGGTAAATAATTAATTTATTGCTACAAAATGTTCATTCTCTGTGTTTTCTTAGGAGGAAGAATCCTGTAGGAAACAGTTGCAGGAAATGAATAATCAAATAGCAGCAGACAAAATTCAAGAGTTAGAGAAAGCCAAGCGAGGCCTTGAGCTGGAGGTACACTTCAACAAGAAGCGGCTGGAAATGCAGACACTGACTGCCAAAGAGGTACATTTTTGAAGCAGTGAAAGCTAGCATTTTGTCTCATCAATTGGACAATACACCATGACATTAGTATTATTTCACTAAATTCCATCAGTATGACTTCCGAAACATGTCTCAGATGACTTTTGCTGCTCTTCTTTTGTGAATTTTGCTGATATTTGGGAAATTAGAATTTATGTAACTTCATTGCTCAGCTTGATGAGCCAGTCAGAATTGAACCACTGAAGTGAATGTCTTCGGGCTGTGTTGTGTAAGCATTCTTTGCTATGTTAGATACAGTGGTGCCCCGCTTGACGATGATAATCTGTTCTGTTAAAATCGCTGTTAAGCGATATCGTCGTCAAGCGAAAGAAAAAAAACATTTAAATGCATTGAAAACCGGTTCAGTGCGTTCCAATGGGCGAAATACCTCATCGTCCAGTGAAGATCCTCCATAGGGGAAGCCATTTTCCGTTGCTGTATTCCAGAAATAGGTCCGGAAAAGAGCGGGCCGCCATTTTGAAAACCCGACGATCAGCTGTTTTTGATCGGCATAATGCGAAGAATCGGTTCCCGAAGCAGGGAACTGATCGTCGTTAAGCGGTTTTCCCCATTCAATCATCGTTTTGCAATCGAAATAGCGATTGCAAAAAGCTCATCGTGAAGCGATTTCATCGTGAAGCGGGGTAATCGTCAAGCGGGGCACCACTGTATTTGGAATCCTCTTGGAAACAATTTGGGGGATATTAAAAATAAGTTTTGGCAAGAGTGAGCGCCAACATTACATTTTATTTAGGGTGTGACTATACTGGAAAAATTGTGGGAAATGCTATAGATTTAACGTTGGTCTGATTTCATATTTTTTTCCATTGACCACATGATGCAAAAGGGAAAGACAAATTTGCACAAGGGTCCTTCCCCATCTGTAGTTTTCACCTTTGCTGCTGGCGCTTCTACTTTTTAAAAAAATTAGATCAATTCACATTTGTTCGGATGTGTGACTGCTTGAACTGATGCAGAAAAAGCTGCTGTGCCAGCACACACTTTAAGAATAGCAAGACTTCTCTGTTCCTCCCTTCTTTATTTCTCAGGACTTTTCATAAGTGCAGGTAATTGTGCTAGTCTATGTTGCAACACTTTTTTTTTATTGCTGTGGTCGCTACTTTCTTTGCCATAAGGAAACTGAGGTTAGGCAGTTACACGGTTCATGGCACAGAAATGGCCATGGTAGGAGACAGAAGAAAGCAGTGCAAAGTGGAGTCCTAAGGTTAAAGCAGGATTATCCTTTAGACAACTTAAATTCAGATTTCATAATACCCACATCTTGATTCGATCTCATATCCAATCTCATCCTCCTCTACCAGTTATTAGTCCCTTTCTCTCAACAGATCAAAGAAGCCTAAGAGCTCCCAGTAAATGGAGACCATGGTGAGGTGTGTATTTGGGGATATGATGTTACGGTTTAGGAGGACTGATGCTATAATTCTGTGCACCTTTCAGGGGAACACAGAAACATGAGTTTACCTTCCCCAAAGGGGGGGGGGAGAGACAATCCAAGTTGATCTAGTTAATGGCCTTTAAATTGCAATCCCGTAACCACTTTTGGCGAGGCTTTCCTTTTTAAAATACAATTTGGAAGATAATGAGAGGAGGAACCCCTTGTTTACAGCTGATTAGGTAATTCTTTTGTAACTGCACCATCTGCAAGACTATAAATGGAGCTGCAAACATAGCTTTCTCTTCTCTTCCTGTGTGACCTGTTAATGTGAAAAGACCCAAAGAAACTCAAATTTCCCTCTGCGACATCACAGTGAGTGAATGTGAGTGAACTGTGTTACAGATGGGGGAAAAAACTAAAACAGTTTGGACTGCAGGGAACTTTGCAGCCCTGAAACCCATGATCCTGGCATCCAATACTTGGCAAACCACATAGGCATAATTTACTCCAATGCAGGCAAGCACACATGTTAAAATGATTTTTTTAAAACTTGTGATTGGAATAGATTCAAAATAAACAACCCCATTGTGGGTGTTTAAAAAAACTCACTATCCAGACTAAAATAAAATTGCAGAACCCAATGCATAAACAGGTGTATTACAGCATGTAACTGAGCCCTAAGTAAAGCTTTAGTCAACTTTCTATATCTCTGGCATTTTCAAAGAATTAAGATCAGGCTGACTGAATTGGATCAAAATAATTCTAGTCCAGCAATTAGGCAAATGCCTCTGGAAGGAAAACTTAGTTCAATATTATTTCTGTATGTGTTCAATTACAGAATCCTGCAGAGTTTATGTTTTGTACATTTAAAGCAATTGGAACACGAATAGTTTAACGCCTGCACTGCACAGATAAGGCATAGATAAGACAAGGTGATTAATAGAACTGATTTAAGACAGAAAGCAGTCTACGGGAAAAAAGCAAAAATGAAAAATATGGGGTTTAAATAGAACTTCTCCTTTTTTCAGACCTGCCCCACTTTCACTGAAAAAGCACATAATCGTTGTTTTGTGTTAGATTTTAGAAGATCATGCAATTCATCATGCCAGAATTCTTGAAGCCCTGGAGGCTGAGAAGCAGAAAATTGCTCAGGAAGTGCAAATTCTTCAGCAGAGTACGGGAAACAGAAATAAAGGTAGGGTTGAGATATAATGCAGTTGCCCACAAATATTGATGGATTCCTATAAATAGTGTTATCTCTTTCCTCCAACATAGACTGGAATAAGCTTATATTCCTCCCATACTGAAAATATATATTTCCCCTCAGAACTAGGGGACCATATGCATACTGAATTTATGTTGATGCCTATTTTTCCTTGAAGGCACCCTTTTTCATCCCCATTCACTCTAAAGCTATTGAATATATATTTATCTTCACAGTACAATCCTTTGCATATCTACTTTCAAGTAAGTCCCATAGAGTTCACTGGGATGTAAGTTTGTAAAGGATTGCAACTTCTTTCAAAATACAGTCATGTGAAAAAGAAAGTACACTGTCTTTGAATTCTACAGTTTTACATATCAAGTCATAATAAAAATCATCTGGTCCTTAGCAGGTCTGAAAATCAGGTAAAGATAGCCTCAGATGAATGACAACACATGACATATTACACTGTGTGAAGATTTATTTTACAAAAATAAAGCCAAAATGGAGAAGTCATGTATGAAAAACTAAGTACAACCTCACTGCTTCCATAAGAATTAAGAGGCTAAGTAGCAGCCAGATGCTCCTAACCAAATGCCCTTGAGTAATTAATCATCAGGAAGTGTGACCACCTCTATAAGAACCAAAGTTTTTGCAATTTGCTGGTCTGGAGCATTCAGATGTGTTTTAACACAATGCCAAGGAACAAATACATCAGCTGTGATCATAGAGAAGCAATTGTCGCTGCCCATCAATCTGGGAGGGATTAAAACGCCATTTCCAAACAATTTAAAGTCCATCATTCTAGAGTGAGGAAGATTTTTCACAAGTGGAAAATATTCAAGACAGTTGCTAATCTTCTCAGGAGTGGATGTCCAAGCAAATTCACCCCAAAGTTAGACCTGCAAGGATCAGAGAAATTGCAAAAAAAACCCAAGAGTTACATCTCAGTCTCTAGAGGCCCAGTTAGCATGTTAAATGTTAAAGTTCATGACAGTACAATAAGAAGGTGACTGAAAAAATCTGGTTTGTTTGGAAGAATTGCCAAGAAAAAGCCTCTCCTCTAAAAAGAACATGGCAGCACAGCTTAGGTTTGCAAAGTTGCATCTGGACAAACTATAAGACTTCTGGAACAATGTTCTTTGGACAGATGAGACCAATGTGGAGACGTTTGGCATAATGCACAGTGCCACATTTGGCAAAAACCAAACACAGCATATCAGCACAAACACCTCATACCAGTTGTCAAGCATGGTGGTAGAGGCTTGTTTTGCAGCCCCAAGTCCTGGGCACCTTGCAGTCATTGAGTTGACCATGAACCCCTCTGTATACCGAAATATTCTAGAGTTAAATGTGAGGCCATCTGTCTGACAGCTAAAGCTTGGCTGAAATTGGGTCATGCAACAGGACAATGATCCCGAACCTACCAGCAGATCTACAACAGAATGGCTGAAAATGAAAGGAATCAAGGTGTTGCAATGGCCCAGTCAAAGTCCAGAACTCAACCTGATTGAAATGCTGTGGTGGGACTTTAAGATTGCTGTGCATAAACAAATGCCCACAAACCTCAATGAACTGAAGCAATGTCGTAAAAAAGAGCGGCTCTACAAGCTATTGAATCATAAGGTGTACTTACCGTATTTTTCTGTGTATAAAACAACACTTTTTCCTAAAATAATTAGAGGAAAAATTGAGGGTCGTTTTATACACGGAAGGAGGCAGGGGCAAAGGAGTAGTTGCATGCATGCTTGGGCGCCTCTTGCTGCTGCCGCCACCGCTGCCCAATTGCCTCTTCCAGGGTTCATGGCTTGTCCCTTCCGGTGGTGGAGACAGCGGAGGCAAAGCAGTTGCGCTGGAGCAGGAGAGACGAAAGTGGAGGAGCAGTTGCCCATTAACTGCTCCTCCGCCTCCAGCAAGGGTCAAAATTAGGGGGTTGTTTTATACGTTGGGGGACTCATATACACGGAAAAAGGCAGTAGTTCTTCACACATGGCTTCTCCATTTTGTCTTTATTTTTGTTAAACAAATCATGGCATGATGTAATATATCATGTGTTATTCATCTGAGGTGGCATTCATCTAATTTTCAGACCCGCTAAGGACCAGATGAAAACTATAGAATTCAAAGAGGGTGTACTTTCTTTTTCACATGACTATATTCTAAGTTCTGCAGCAAAGCCTGGAACTGTTGTGTTTAAAACAGGCAAGAGTTAAAAATGAAAAAGTGGTTGAAATATGAAGTTATAGCATAGTGAA